TGGAATGAGGGTACCAGGCAGAAGAGGAAATGACAAAAGACAGAGATTTTGGAGGGACGTGAGTTACTGATGACAACCAAGCTGAGGTGTGACAGAGTTGGGGGACATCGGGGGAGCTGGGAAACTCCACTGCAAGTGAGAAAGTCAAGGAACTGGGCCGGGTGCGGGATGGCAATCTACATGGATACCGCAAGTCAACAAAAACAATGCAATAATGGGGTGGGAGAGAGGAAAGCAGTAAACTAGGCATTGAATCTTTACTGATACTGAGTGAGGGGGAGTGTTGACCAAGAATCAATCATGGGGCATCAGGGCTCCCAAGTAGACAAGACTGGGGAGGGATTTGGTGTAAGTTGGGAGGAGAATCCAGCTGAGATATGCCTCCTAAGGGAGGCATCTAGGGGAGGTGAAAATATCTGGGAGGAATTATTTTCACTCACTTCCTCTACCTAATTCTTTTTGACTTCATTGAGTTCAAAGGCTGATAAAAGCGGTTTTATCTGAAAAACATCTGAAAACCAAGGATTAGTCAGATTTGTCTCCTGCCTTCAAGAAGCTCACAAGATAAGGTAAGTACATCAAGCTCTCTGGTGAGAAGAAATAGAAAATGTAGATCTATGAACATTTGGGTAGGTTCTAAACCCAGATGCCTTTTGCCTAAAGTTGCTGTGGTTGAGATATACATTTTTGCCTCTCCCCTCCCCTTGTCAGTGCTTTTAAGGCTGGGACTCCCAACCCTGGCTGCTCTTGGGAATCACCTGGGGATGCCTTGAAAATATTGATGCCCTCATCCCACCCCCAGAGATTCTGATTTAATTGGGTGAGGATTCCACCTGGGCTTTGGGATTTTAAAATGCTCCCCAGGTAACTCTAATATGTGCTCAGGGTTGCTCCAAGGAATGCATAGAGGTCGGCATGGAAACATACTTCCGTAGTCCAACCTGTGCCAGTGATTCTTCCTTGTTGAAGTAAGAGATGAATTCATCTGATCTTTTTTTTTTTTTTAAAGATTTGTTTATTTATTTATACAAGCACTGGGTACAGTCAGAAGCACGGGAGGGTGAGAGGATTCACCAGAGCCAGAGTGGGGAACAGAACAGGCAGACTGACGAAATACACTACTGAGGGGAGCAGTGGGCGCAACAGGAGAGGTCTGTGAGCCATGTGGGACCCTCACTGGTGGCTGGGGATCGAACCGGTGCTGCAGAGGCTGTGGGAAGCTTCACAGCCCCAGCGCTCAACCACTGAGCCACCAGGGGAGGCCCGAATTCATCTGATCTTGAAGGATAAGTATAGTTTGACCAAGAAGGTAGAGGGAGATAGTTTTTAATTAAGGGTGCTGGAAAAATAGTGCTGTTAAGAGAGACAGGGAAGCGGTTTTCAGTGACATTTCATCAGTTTGGTTGTGGACATGCTGAGTTTATTTTATTTATTTTATCTCTTTTTGCATAGAAGAACTGGGGTGTAGGTCAGAGGCGCAGGGGCAGGAGGGAGGTGAGAGGATTCACCAGAGACAGAGTGGGGAGCAGAATAGGCAGATCTACTAAAATACAATGCTGAGGGGAGCAGTGGATGAGACAGTCTGCTGCAGGCTCAGTCTGCAGTGCCATGTAGGTCAGCTCCCTGGCCCAGGATAGAACTCAGGCCCTAGAGGTAATAGAACAGAGATTTAAAACTTAGGCCACCAGGGAGGCCCCATGCTGAGTTTAAAGGAGCGGCATCACCTTTCATGTGGTCCCATTCCATGAGCATCGGAAGAATGTCTGCAATATAAATATACAGATTGGAGAATGTCTTAGTCAATTTGGGCTGCTGTAACAAAATACCATAGGCTGGGTAACTTTCAAACAACAGAACTTATTTTTCATGGTTCTGGAAGCTAGGAAGTCCAAGATCAAGGTGCCAGCAGATTTGGTGTCTGGTGAGAACCCCTTCGGGTTCATAGATCTTCTAGCTATCGTCTTCTTTTTTTAAGACTTATTTATGCATACAAGAGCTGGGGTACAGGCCAGAGGTATGAGGGGTGAGAGGATTCACCAGACAGTGGGGAACAGAACAGGCAGACAGACTGAAATACACTGCTGAGGGTTGCAGCGGGGAGACAGGAGAGGTCTGCTGCGCCATGTGTGTCAGCTCCCTGGCCACTGGGATCGAACTCGTGCTGCAGAGGCTGTGGAGATCTTCACAGTGCTGTGCTTAACCCCTTGGGCAGCCAGAGAGGCCCTCTTCTAGCCATCTTCTCACCTGGTGGGAGGGACAAGGGAGCTCCAGGGCATCTCTTTTATAAGGCCACTAATCGCATTGATGAAGAGCTGCCCTTATGAGCTAATCACAGACTCTCATTGTATCCTCACATGGCAGAAGGGGTTAGGGAGTTCTATGGTGTCTCTTTTATAAGAACACTAATCCTACTCATGGGGGCTCTACCCTCATAACCTAAGCACCTCCTGGAGATCCCATCAATTCTATCACCATCCTAATACCATCAATTGCACTTCAAGATCTGAACTATAATTTTGAAGGGAATACAAATGTTTTGATTACAGCAGAGCCCGAGGGAGAAGGTCAGAAGCTTCTCAAGTCCAGCTGGGATTGGTTGCCCTCTCCTACCCTGATGTCAATCAGGAGACCTCTTAGTGGGGTGGGGAGGGCATAAGCTGAGCACTTGGTACTTTAAAGTGTACCTGCAGAGCAGGATCTATCCTGAACTTGTGCATTTATACAACATGCAGACACCATGAAGGTGCCGGTGAAACACTGTCTGAGACAGAAGGTGTCAACACTGAAACTCAGAGTTTATAATCTAGAAGGAAAGCCATGCACCTAGGCATGGAAGGAGGATGTGAGGTTGTGGAAAGCTAGGGTTCTCCTTTGGACATTTTGGGTTTAATATGCCTTCTTCACCAAACTTCTTGGAAAAAGAACTCATGTTTGCAGCTTCCACTTCCTCACCACCTACAACTTCCCCCTGCCCCAAATAAATATGGTGTATTGTTGTCAAAGATATGTCTGTGTCTGCCTTTCTTTCATATCCTTTTTCTTAGCCCTTTAAAATATGCTTCCAGGGCCTCCCCGGTGGCGCAGCGGTTGAGCGCTGGGTTGCGAAGCTGCCGGTTCAATCCCTGGTTGCTCCCTGGCCACTGGAGGAGGGTCCCACATGGCGCGCAGACCTCTCCTGCCACCCGCTGCTCCCCTCAGCAGTGTACTTTGGACCTTCTGCCTGCTCTGCTCCCCGCTCTGGTGAATTCTCTCACACTCCCGTGCTTCTGACTGTACCCAGTGCATGTATAAACAAAACAAACAAACAAACAAATAAATAAAACATGCCTCTATTTTAAAAATAAATAAATAAATAAATAAATAAAATATGCTTCCAGGGCCTCCCTGGTGGCACAAGGGGTTAAGATGCAACCTATGAAGCTGTTTGCAGCCTCTGCAACACGGGTTCAATCTCTGGCCAGGGAGCTACCCACATGGTATGGCAGACCTCTCCTGTCTCGCCACTGCTCCCTTCATCAGTGTATTTCAGTCAGTCTGCCTGTTCTGTTCCTCGCTCTGTCTCTGGTGAATCATCTCACCCCCTCCCCCGCCCCTCTGGCCTTGTATGTAATACTTGTATGCATAAATAAGTAAACCTTTAGGGCCCTCCCTGGTGGCACAGGCAGTTGAGTGCAGCACTGTGAAGCTGTCGGCAGTCTCTGCAGTGCTGGTTCCATCCCCGCAGGCCTCGGAGCAGCCCACATGGCGTAGCAGACTTCTCCTGTCTCGCCCACTGCTCCCCTCAGCAGTGTATTTCTTCAGTCTGCCTGTTCTGTTCCCCATTCTGTCTCTGGTGAATCCTCTCACCCTCCCGCGCATCTGGCCTGTACCCTGGTTCTTGTATAAATAAAAAATAAATCTTAAAATAAATTAATACTTTAAAAAAATAAAATATGCTTCCACTTCCTACTCGACTGAAACTTTGCTCTCAAATAGTGCCCAAGGATTTGAAGTTACCAGGAGCCCAAATTGAAGGCACTTTCACAATTCCCTGCTCCCCTGAACCTTCCCATGTTTTTCCCTTGGACCTAGATTCCCCTGGACCTGGATTCCCCACGCCCTGGAGTTCAGGGACACCTGTTATCTCCTCCCCCACTACCTCCACACACATGTTTAATGATCACTTCTCCCTTCCTCTTGTTTTTTCTTCTCCTTTTCCCAAAGTGTCTCTTTCTGGATTTTTTCCTTTTCTTAGACTTCCCCTTAAAAATCTCATCCATTCTAAATTTAGGTTTCATTTCTAACCAAGTACTTCTCTGCCATGGGCTGAATATTGTGTTCCCCCCAGCTTTATATGTAGAAATCTAGTCCCCAATGTGATGGAAGGGCCTTGGAGGGGGGGGGTACTTAGGTCATATGTGCAGATCCTCATGAATGAGATTAGGCACCTTATAAAAGAGATGCCAGAAAGGTCCCCATGTGAAGATACAGTGAGAAATCTGTGACCCAGAAGAAGGCCCTCACCCACTGTACTGACACCGTGATCTCACCCTGGAGGATTTCCAGCCTCCAGAAATGCAAGAAATAAATTTCTGTTGTTTATAAGCCACCCCAGTCAATGGTATTATTGTTATAGTTTCCCTAATGGACTGAGACAAGCTCCCACAGCTCTCTGCGCCCCTTGTTTCCCCACACTGGTGTAGCGCACCACACTGGGCTCTGATCCAAGCTATCTCCCACCCTCCAGCCCACAGGCATGAACAGCTGTGGGCAGCTGCATCTTTTCCCTGCCCCTGCCACTCACCCTGACCAACTTCTTTAGAATGGCTGCCCTATGCTTTCCTTCTGATATCCTGGAGTTCTAGGGACAGGCCCTCTGGGTCTCCATGTAAATCCTTCCTTTCCAAAACCCTAAGCCCAGTCCGGTAGGGAACAGAAAATGTGTGCTGGGGAGAGAAATGCCCACTAAGAGCAGACCCCAGAGTCATCCCCCAGAGGATACCCAGGGAGCCCCCCTCTCCCATATTTGTCTCTCTGTTCTCCTGGGAATCTGCTTGCTCCCACTTTTGTCTCTGTCGGCGTTGTATTTTTTCCCCCATAGGAGGGGAAATTAGGGAAGGAGAAAAGGGGGAGCCAAAAGAGCTGGGTCTTTACAAGGCTGCAGTCTTCGAAATTGGGGTGATAAATGCACTTAGTCTCTTTAATTTTGTCTTTCAGAAATCACACACACACTCACACACAGACCAAAACAAGTTGGGACTGCCGAGGGGAGCGGGGGCGGGACGGCTTCCTCCTGACATCGGGGGTCTGTCTCCCGGTTTCCCTTCTGCCCTGCCGCCAGGGGCTGGGGTGGGTGGGAGTATTTACAGAGAACCGGAACGCGGTCTTCCTCCCAGGGTGCAGTGACCTGGGAACGTCTCCAATCTCATTCCAGAATAACCAAAAGTAGAGATTCTGGATTAGCAAGAAAATAGGGGAAGCCAGTGGTGGAGAAGAGACCAGACAGTGCTAAAAACGAAAACAGGAGTGAGTTTGGGGGCTCCGTCGCAGAGCCGGGAGAGGGGAGGAGTCTGTCGGTCTGGGGGCGAGGCCTGGGCGCTACGAACCCAGTCGCCAGACTGAGTCACCCCGCTAGGAAGAAAAGAAGGCGGAGCCTGCCGGCCAGGAGGCGGGGTTTTGTCAGAGCCGGGGAGGAGCCTACAGGGATGGGATTAGGGGACCGGTCTGCAGGCTGGGGAGCTACAGAGACCCGGGGAGCTCGGCTGGGGGCGCTGCATTTACAGAGGGTGGGAGCCTGGAGCGACTGAGGGTCCGGTGCTAGGCGGGGAGCTCTGAAAGCGGCGTCCCTGGGGGTGTGGGCTTTGGCCGGGTTCCTGGGGACCTGGATTCCGAGTGCCCGCAAGGCGAGTGGTTCCGTGGAGGCTGAGTTTAGGGTGTACTGAAGTCGGTCGCCCCAGAGGCGGGAAAGCACGGCGCCCTTGGGACCCGCGGCGTGACCGCAGAACGCGCTTGGGAGGTCGAGGGGCGTAGGGGGGGGCCAGGCTGGGGGCGTCCTTACGGATCCCAGTAATTCTCGTGGTGCTGCGCGGCAATGATGATGACTACGGTGAGGATGGTACAGAGCACCATGGCTGCAATGCCCACCGCCAGGGAGATGAAAGAGAAGTTCCGAGCCTCCCGTGAAGCAATCTCCGCAGACACCATGTCTCCGCGGGCCAAGGCCGTGCGCACCTGCCGTGGAGGGGTGGGGGAAGCTGATCAGATGACAGCTGCCTCGCCTGCGCCGCCCGGCCTCCCTCCAAGATGCTCCACAGAGGCCCAACACTCCCTGGGAATAAGAAAAACCCTGTGTGGCCCCCGCCCCCCCCACCAGCCCCCCCCACCTGCACGGCCTTGAAGATGGCGATGATGCCCGTAGGCCAGAAGCAGCAGATGGTGGTCAGCACGGCGATGGGCATGTAGTCGTGCGGCGGGCGCCTCGGTTCCAGCAGTGCCAGCCCTGGGCCCTGGGGCGGCGGGGGGAGCGTGGAGGTTACTCCCGTTCCCCCCGGGGTCCCGCCTGCATAGGGCTGTGGAAAGAAGGTTGGGGCAAGAGGAAGTCACTCCAACCCTCTCTAAAGCCCACCAACTTTGCTTCTCGGAGAACCTGATCATCGACTTCCCTCCCGAGAGTCCATAACAGAGGTTCTGCCCTGTTCATTGCTGTCATTCACCCTGTATTCTTGGGGGGAGGGGCTCCAACTCCCTCCCCCAAGGTATCCCATCAACACTGCTCTGTTCTTATTCAGACCTTGTTTCTGATCTCAGAGATCTACCTGCTGGTCCGGTCCCGCCCCCCAGTCAGTCCCAGATTTCTTCCCCCTCACCTCTCTGGCTTCCCAGGTTCCCTTCCGGCCCCTCAGCCCAAGCTGTTTCCTTCTCTCAAACCTCCTCTGGATCTCAAGGTTCTGTTCCCCCTCAGGGCCTGATCTGTGACTCCTCTTACCCATTATTTCTCCCTACCCCCATTCCCAGGCTTTTCCCTACTCTCTCCTTCTCCAAGTCTTACCCCCCCTCCCAGCATCACTTGATCCCTGATCCTGTTTATCGATCCCATTAGCCCCCAGTGTGTTCCCAACTCCTGCTCCGTGGTGAGCCTCCCCCCACCCTTTATCTCCCGGGTACTCACCGTGCCCACCGGGTAGACTGGCACGTAGGCAGTGCAAGGCTGTAGCTGCAAGGGGTAGCCCGGGGCTACGTAGCCCCCCAGAGGCAGCGTACCTACCGCCCCCGTGTGCGTGGGCACCACGAAGCCTGGGGCCTGGGCAGTATGGGAGGGCGCCGGTGGGGGCGGGGCGGCGGCGGGCGGCGGCGGGGGCAGTGGGCCCTCGAAGCGAGTCTCCTGTAGGTAAGGGTCGGGTGGCATGCGGGGCAAGGTAGCGCAGCCAGGTGGGGGTCCCCCAGCAGCTGGACCAGGGGGAGCATGGTGGGGGGGCCTCGGCAGCGTGGCGGAGGAGGAGGGACCGCGCTGAGCAGTGGCAGCGGAAGAAGCCAGGCCACCTGCCCCTAAGCGCGGGAGGGTGGCGGTGCCAGACTGGTGGTAATGGTGGTGGTGGTGATGGTGCGAGGAGGGGGCTGCCTGTGGGGGTGGGGCGGGAGGTTCGGCGGGGGGCTGGGGGGCATTGTAAGGTGGTGGAGAGGTGTGAGGGACTGAGTCTGGGAGGCCTGGGGGTGGTGAGCAGTGGAGAGGGTATGGAGAGATAAGACAGACAGAGATGAGATAAGGAGGGGTTGGGAGAGAAACAGAGGGTCAGGGGTGAGAGAGATAATGGGAGAGACACAGGAGATGGGTGAGAAGCTGTCTCTCATTCTTGGGGCAGGAGAGGGGTATCTAGGCCATCTGCTTCCCTCTTCTTCCTTTTAGTCTAGTTTTGAGGTCATAACTCTCCTCTGCTCCTCTCCCCTCCTCAGCAGTGTGCACACACAGCTTTTCCGTGCAGACCAGGCTCCTTCCTTGGCGGCTCTGGGCTTGCCCACCTGAGCTAGTGCCCTGTGTGCTCATGTGAAAAAGTGCAACACGGTTAACATGTGCTCAATTCAACAGTTGTATAAACACATGTAGAATGACACCTTCCTTTCCTCTTAGCTCTTTTAGGGCAGATAAAGAAAGGTCCTCGCATTTCACTGCCCTGACAACCTCCCGCCCCCCCCATCGGACCATGGCTTCATATTTCCCGGCTGGATGTCCCCATGTGGGCCAGTCTCATCTGTCCATCTGTCACTCCCAGTGATGCTCTCCCTGCAGTACCTGGCTGGTGCTAAGCCACTCTTGGACTCCCTCACCCTCTCAACCTGCCCCCTGCCCATGTTGTTGGCAAGGGATGGAGGCTGAGACTGAGGAGGGAAGGAAGAGAAGGGAGTGCTAAAAAAAGGGGAGGGGGCCTGGGGGGGTTGCTGAGGGCTGAATAGAAGGAGAATGGCACAGAACCACTCGCTAGGGAGAGAGGTAAGGAAGGGGGTTGAATTAGGATGGGGGAGAATCAGGAGCCCCTAGAAAGGGTGGGAGTTTTGTTGTTGTTTTTTACCTGACTTTTCAGATGACATGCCAGCGGTTTCTCGCTAGGACGGTCCCTGCAGCTCAAGTCTGGGGTCTCTGGCTGAGGCTGGAGCCTGGGTGCACGGATTGCGCAGCCGGCAGCAGCGCAGAGATGGAGAGATGAAGACAGCCGCGGGGGGCGGAGGGAGAGGGGGGGAGCTTAAAGGGACCGAGGCAAGGGAGGGGGAGCTCTTCAGATGTACCCCCCCTCGGTCTCTCTCTGCTTTGAACCAGTCTTTCCTCCTCTCACCCCAGCATTCAAGCCCCCAGTTTGGGCTCCCTTGGAGTTGTCATGGAAACAGGGAGGCAAGCAAGACCAGGCAAGGTGGGTGGGATTAAGAGAAAGGAGGGAGAACTCTCTAGAGTGTTCCCCTCTAAGACTGGCTATAGTGATTATGTTGTGGGAGGAAGTGAGCAGGTGCTTCAAAACCCCAGTCCCCTGGGGATCTGGTTCACCCCAGTCAAGTCTCCCTGTCCTCGGCTTCCCTCAGAGTCCCTGCAGCCCCCAGGATCTTCTCCCAAATCCCTGGCCTTAATTCCCCCACTTCAGGAGACTGTTGTGTATGAAAGAGAACTGCGTGCAAAGTAGAGACCTTTGATAGCTTCAGATTGCAAGGTTCATGACCTCTACCTGTCATGAACTGAATTGGAAGGTTCAGTCTATAGTAATTTCAGGGTGTGGGGCCTGTGGTGGGCTAGGGGAGAGAAGGATGGAGATGAAGCTTGAAGGATGCATGGATACTTTCTTCCCCCAGGGTGAAGTTGCTGGAGCACTTTGGGAGGAGGGGATGAATCAACTGCTAATTTCTGGCAGTTCTGTTTGGAAATAGGTGCTTGATTCTCCCCTCCCCCCCTTATTTATTGGGCTTCTTAGAGTTCCTGGGTCCCATAGCGTTCAGATACATTGCTTAACTACCTCCCCCCACACAGCCCAATTACCCCAGCCGCCACTCCCCAGTAGACTCGGGCGCACAGCGGTGATTGCTGTCTTTTTATTTGCTTGTAGCTTGTGGGAGCGCCTAGATAAGGAGGGGGTGTGAATTTGGGCAGTCTACTGAGACTCACAACAATCGGGATTTCTGCAAAAACACAATCGGAGTATATTACCCGCCCCCCACCTCCAGAACTTCCCAGCCCCCGCCTAAGGCCGTCGCCCTGCCGGGCCCTCCTGCCCCTCAGCGCCGGCTGTGCAGTAAAAAGGCCCTCGCCTGGGTCAGTCCCAGCCCCAGAAATTTAAATCACGGCTCCATTGCCGGTTGTTCTGGATTCAGGGTCATTCGCGTGGACCCCTAACCCCCCCACCTTCACCCCATCCTCACTCCACGCAAATCGGCGCACATACTGTGTATACTGGGAGAGACTTTACATCGGCAAATATTTTGTGAACAGGGAGTTCAGACAGGCTGCGGAATCCCCGTCTCTTGGAAACCGTCTTTAAATGATAAGAGCCCAGGGCATCCGGGTGTACCGGCGGAGAGGTGCGATCCGCCTAGAGCTCGCGAGTCTAGACGCGGTTGGAAGGTCTCGGTCGGGAGCCACCCACTAGGAGTTCCCGGCCACGGGCCAGGTCGTGGGGTCGCTCGCATCGAAAGACTCATCAAAGCCTCGCCGGCGTGAGTCAGCGCTGCCCCCGGGGCCCTCCGCCCCTTGGGGGCGAGTCGTGTTGCCGAGTGGTTGAGAGCAGGGCCGGAGAAACTGGGCCAGCTGCACTTTTAGCTCGAGGGGCCTCGAGGACTCTCCGCGTCTTTGGAGACAAGGGCACTACACGCACTTCAGAATGAAGAGTTGTAAGACGCTGACCCGGGCGGCCGCGGGCGGGCAGGGGGTGGGGGTGGGGGTGGGGGTGGGCCCCGCCAGGGCTGGGTTCACCTCCCAGTCGCCTACGACGAAACGGGGACTGCCTTTCCCCAGTCTATCCCCCAGCACCCTGGGGAAAGAGAACTTCGTGGTCCGCAGCGGAGCCGCACGCCAGAATTGGGAAGTGAAACGAATGGAGGCCGGGTAATCGAATCTTGGGGTCGCGGGTGCAGCGGGGCCCGGAGAGGCCTTCCAGCGAGCCCCGGGACGTGTTTGCGTCCTCGTCCTCTCCCCCAGAGGTCTGAATGGATCGCTCCGCCTATTTCCTCCCCTGATCTTAGGGCGCAATGGAATATTCCATTGCCCCTCCGGTCCCGGGCCTGCGTTGCGGGGGACGCTGGCACGGTTGCCAGGGAAAGCCCCGGACGTGACGGCTAAGCGCGACCCCGAGCAACCTGCCGGCTCCCGGCCGTCCTTCCCCCGCGCGCGCCGCCCGCCCGCGTCCCCCGGCCCCGTGGGGTCCAGCCCGGGGAGCCGTGAGCGGCGGGCAGTGAGGCCCGGGGCGCGCGCCCGCTGGAGTTTGCCCTCTCCAGGTGGCTTGCGCTGCTGTTCAGGGGTCGTTCTTGCAAAACTCCGAGCCGTGCCGAGCTGGGGGGAAGCCTTAGGAAGTTCGAGGCCTGGGGACCGTGTCCCCAGAGCGCGGAGCCGGGGGCGGGGCTTCGGGCGCGCCGGTGCGTCTGCTGGGGCGGGGGGTGTCTGTGGGGAGGCGGCCGGACGGAGTTGGAACCGGCTCCCTGGCGGCTAGGACCTGCAGCGGGTGCGGGCGGGGGAGGCTGGATGGCCTGGGGTCTGTTCCGAGGGGAGGCGGCGTTGTTATCTCTCACAGGCCTTCATCGCCCCCTTCCCAGGCGGGAGCATGCTGGGGCTCTGCGGGCCGCGGCTCCCCCAGGCGGGCATCCTGCCCCTGTTGCTGTTGCTGCCGCTGCTGCTGCTGTCCACAGCCCCAGCGTCCCATGGCGCTTCCTACAAGCCGGTCATCGTGGTGCACGGGCTCTTTGACAGCTCATACAGCTTCCGCCACCTGCTGGAATATATCAACGAGGTCTGGAAGGGGCACCCGGTTGTGCGTTTTGGGGTTCAGGGGCGCCTGCAGTGGCTGGGGTGGGAGAATGGGAAACTGAAAGCCGCCGCTCTGGGCCTGTCCAGTTCCTCGCAGAACTGGCATGGGGGAGAATGGGGAACAATATCCCTGGTTCTAGTGGGCCACAGTGGGCACGTGGACGCTGGCGGGAGGAGCGTCTCTGCGGAGGGGCTTCCCCTTCCTTCCTGGCAGTGGCATTGCTCCCTTCCCACAGACGCACCCGGGGACTGTGGTGACGGTGCTGGATCTCTTCGATGGGAGAGAGAGCTTGCGGCCCCTGTGGGAACAAGTGCAAGGGTTCAGAGAGGCAGTGGCCCCCATCATGGCAAAGGCCCCTGAAGGAGTGCATCTCCTCTGCTACTCACAGGGTAGGTGCCCTCCCCTTCCCCCTTCGCCTAATCCCCAGTCCTAAGTCTGTCTGAGTCTTGACCCTTATCAGAGGGACACTTTCCTAGTATCTCCAGACACAGCCACAGTCTGGAGCTCTCCTTTTCATACTTTCTGGCACCTGGGTCTTTTCTCTGTCTATGGGCTTTTCCTGCTTTACCCAGACTTTTGGACATCAGGGATAATAGGGAGTAAAAAGCACCCAAGAGCTAGAGTCTAAGGACCCAGAATTTATTTATTTGTTTTTTATTTAATTATTTATTTATGCATACAAGAGCTGGGGTACAGGCCAGAGATGCAGGGGGTGAGAGGATTCACCAGAGACAGAGTGGGGAACAGAACAGGCAGAGGGACCAAAGTACATTGCTGAAGGGAGCAGCGGGCAAGTCAGGAGAGGTCTGCTGCGCCATGTGGGTTGCTCCTGGCTGGGGATTGAACTTGTGCTGCAGAAGCTGCGAATTGCTTCATAGTATGGTGCTTAACCCCCTGTGCCACCAGGGAGTCCCCAAAAGACCCAGAATTTAATTCTGGCTTTGTCACTTACATGACACCAGGTGTCCCTGTGCTGTCTTGGGCCTCAGTCTTCTTTCCAACTTTGTGCTGGGCCGAGGTGGGGGAGGAAGTACTGTCCCTAAGCCCATTCCCACCTGTGGTGTTCTGCTTCCAGGGGGCCTGGTGTGCCGGGCGCTGCTATCTGTCATGGATGATCACAATGTGGATTCTTTCATCTCTCTCTCCTCTCCACAAATGGGACAGTATGGAGGTGAGTGGGTGCTGAGGACTCCCTAGGGGGCCCGACTATGGGAGCACAAAGGTCTGGGGCTACTTGGCACTGCTGTTCTCTTGCCAGACACGGACTATTTGAAATGGCTCTTCCCCACCTCCATGAGGTCTAACCTTTACCGGATCTGCTATAGCCCCTGGGGCCAGGAATTCTCCATCTGCAACTACTGGCATGGTGAGTAAGGGACATCAAGATAGGGAAGGGGTATACTGGAGGGTAGAGCGGTGCCATCCCTAGGCACCACTTCTTCCACCTCTACCTAACCGATAGCAGCAGGGATGACAGGTGACGACACCTTAAACATGTACTGAGGACTCACTGTGTTGATGGACTCTGTGCAGAATGCTTTCTATGTGGCATCTCGTTTCCTCAGGAAGAAGAGTCTGGTGCAGGGGTCGTAAATTCTATCTCTAAAGGGCGAGACAGTAAATATCTTTGGTTTTTCAGGCCACGTATTCTCTGCCAAAGCTATTCAGTTCTGCCACAGCAGAGTGAAAGCAACTGTCACCATGTGTCAATGAATGTGTCTGTGTTCCCATAAAACTGTATTTACAAAAACAAGCAGTGGGTTAAATGTCCCTCATGACTCATGATTTGCAAATGCTTGGAGTGGTTTTTAAGACAATGGGTGCTGGGTCTAGACTACTTGAGTTTGAAGACTGAGCCTGCTGGCTCACTTTAGACAAGTACCTAAACTGACTTTAGACAAGTCAGTTAAACCTGTGACTCAGTTTTCCTCATCTGTAAAATAATAAATTAACACCTGCCTTATAGGGAAGATATGAGCATTAAATAACTGAATGTAATGTCATTGAACAGGATCTGGTTATAGTAGGTGCCAGATAAAGGTGTCTGCGGTCATCTTTACTGTTACTATTGCTGGACGCCTTGTCTATTGCTGGAGCCTCCTGATTGGTCTTCTAGCCTCTGGTCTTGTCTCCTCTCCCTGCTTCTGACCATCTTTCTAACTGCTGTTTGTACCCAGACCCCCACCATGATGACTTGTACCTCAATGCCAGCAGCTTCCTTGCTCTGATCAATGGGGAGAGAGACCATCCCAATGCCACTGGTGAGACCCCAGGCTCATACCTGGCCTCCATTTTCTGCTTTTGTGACCTCCTGTGTTCCCCTCTCCAACCTGGCTGACCCCAGGACTGACTCACCTTCTCTTCTTCCCACCCTGCAGCATGGCGGAAGAACTTTCTTCGTGTGGGCCGCCTTGTGCTAATTGGGGGCCCAGATGATGGTGTTATTACTCCCTGGCAATCCAGGTAATAAGGAACTGTATGGCCTGAGGATTGGCTAAGGATGCTCTCAGCCCCTCCAATTTTTATCTCATGCCCAAAACCGGCCTGTTCGTTCCATTGATCAGTTAATGTTCCCATCTTCCACTTATCCTGTCACCAGGACAAAATCCTTTAACCCCTTTTATCTAGCCAGTCACTAAGTCCTGCTGACTCTTAATTCCTTTCCATCCCTAGACACCCACTTTGTAAAAACATTTAACTGTGACATATTTACAGATTTACAGGTGGTTGCAAAGATAGAGAGGTCCTGTGTATCCTTCACCCAGTTTCCCCAGTGGTTGTATCCTGTGAAACTATAGCACAGTATCTAGTTAGGAAATTGGCATTGGTACTATATGTATGAATAGTCCCGTACCATTTGATCACATTTCTTACCACCTCTTATTTATCGGGACTACAGTGTCCTCCCCTCCATCCTGTTCTTCAGGAAAATCCATGACTCTGTGTCTCTTATAGATCATCATGTGTTATCTGAAATGTCACCTGAGCCACTTTAGTCACTAAACAAATACTTACTGAACACTGTTCTGGGCCCTGGAGATAGACTGGTAAATGAAAGAAAAATTCCTACTATTAGGTAGCTTACATGCTGGTCAGGGAGACATAATAAATATGTCAGGTGGTGATAGAGTGAGGCACAGGGGGGAGATTATTAATCTAACCATACAAAAGACACCCACCACCACATTTCTGTCACCCCCATTCTCTTCCATAAAGTAGTAGATTGAGAAGGACTGGGCTAACACTCCCCCAAGAACCATTTTACAAAACACAGAAGGGGAGACACAATAATAGCAACAGACAAAAGAGGTGGAAATAGGACAACACACTAGTTGAGCCAAGGTTGTCATCTCTGCTGTTTTCCTGTGGGATGCATTGGGAGAGAGAAACCCAGAGGCCCACGCTCTTTCTCATGGCCACAGGCTGCTGTGGAACCTATTTCAGACGGTGGCCCGAAATCCCCCTGGATGAGTTGTCATTTGAACAGAAATTGGAGGAAGTGAAAGGAGTTGTACAACAAATTGGGAGAGGAATAACTGAAGGAGTAGTATATGCAAATGTCCTGGGGCAGGGGAAGAATATGGAAGTGAGTGAGAGTGGAGAGCAGGGCACTGGGGTGGTGAGAGAGGAGGTGAAAGGTACAGGGACCCAGTTATGTGGAACCTGTATAGGGGAAAGGCCCTTGATTTTTATTTCTAAAATAGCATAACATAAAATTTACCGTTTTAATACAATTCAGTGGTATTAAGTCCATTCACACTATTGTGTAAACATCACCTCCACCACCTCCTCCAGAACTGTTTTCTTTTTCCCAGACTGAAGCTCCATCCCTGTTAAACAATAACTTCTCATCCCTGCCTCCCCACCAGTCCCTGGTAATCAATGCTCTTGACTTTATATTCTGTGTGAAATGAGAATGAAGGAGTCACATTCCTTATAGTAGTAAGGGCTGGGATTTTTTTAATACTATCTCATGTCACATCCACAACAACTTTCTGAAGACAGTAATAGCCTTTTATGTACCAAGGCACTATTCTAAGTACATTCAAATAAAGCTCATTTAATCTGCACAACAACCCTCTGGGGGTAATTACTATTAGTTTCATTTGATACATACAAAACTTAGGTGCTAAGTGATGAAATAAGTAGCATACATTCATAGAGTTAGTAAGTGGTGAAGTCAGGCTTTCTGACCTAACCACAATATTTTACTTCCTCTTTGCAAAGGGAGGTATATTTAGGACAAAGGATAAAACAAGATCAAACCCACAGTGGGGAGTGTGGTAGAGCTGGCCTGCAAATCTGGGTCTGTGTGCCCTACTGCCCTCCTACACTGCCCTCCACATGGCCTCTGCTCCCAATCCAGGTCCCCGTGTACCCACGTGCCTCCCACCGTGGGCGCACTCTGTTGTTCCCCTTGCCAGGCACAGCCTCCTCAGGTCAGGGCCGTCTCTGGGAAGCTTCTGTTGATGTGCTAAAACTAGGGTTGTGGTCCCTTCTCTTTGCTCCCATCACCCATCTAACTTAACCACTGTTAGCATTAGTTCTTAGTAACCAGCATCTGCTCAGTGCCCTTGCCAGTTAAATATCCCAAAGGGAGTTTGAAGACCTTTTATTTTCAAATAATTTACTGCTGAAGCTATTACCAGGTGGTACAAAGCAATCGTGTACACTTTTTTTAAAAAATTTATTTATACGAGCACTGGGTATGGTCAAAAGCGCGGGAGAGTGAGAGAATTCACCAGAGCCAGTGAGGAACAGAATAGGCAGACTGATGAAGTACACTGCTGAGGGGAGCAGCGGGTGGCAGGAGAGGTCTGCGTGCCATGTGGGACCCTCGCCCAGCGAACCGGTGCTGCAAAGGCTGCAGGCAGCTTCGCAACCCAGCGCTCAACCGCTGCGCCACTGGGGAGGCCCAATCGTGTACACTTTTCACCTAGATTTCCCAGTGTTATTTTACCCAGTGTTATTTTACCTAGTGTTATTTTACTGCACTGTCCTCTCAAGATGTGTGTGTGAACCCTTGGAGAGCAGGTTGCAGACATGATGTCCCTTTTCCCCAAAACTTCAGTGTCTGTTTCCTAGATCTAGGACATTTTTTTATTTTTTTAAAAGATTTATTTTTGCATACAAGAACTGGGGTACAGGCCAGAGGTGTGGGAGGTAAGAGGATTCACCAGAGACAGAGTGGGGAACAGAACAGGCAGATTGACTGAAATACACTGCTGAGGGGAGCAGGGGGTGAGTCAGGAGAGGTCTGCTCTGCCATGTGGGTAGCTCCCTGGCTGGAGATTGAACTCGGGCTGCAGAGGCTGTGGATAGCTGCATAGGTTGTGTCTTAACCCCTTGTGCCATCAGGGAGGCCCTAGGACATTGTTTTACATATTCACAATATAATTACCAAAACCAGAAAATAAACATTGGTCCAAGTACTCTATAGACTTGATTCAATATTTTTAAATTGTTCTTACAGAAAAAAAAAATCAGTGCAAAGTCCAACCCAGGTTCACATAATTGCGTTCAGTTGTCCCTCTTTGGCCACTTAGCCTGGAATATGTCCTTAGTCTGTCCATGACATTGATATATTTGCAGTGTGTGGGTCAGCTCTTTTGTAGGATGTCCCTCAGCTTGGACTTTTTAGCTATTTGCTCGCGAGAGATTCCAGGTTATACATTATTGATAGGGATTCTTCAGAAGTGACGCTGTTTTGCCAGTGTATCGCCTCGTGAGATACGTGCTGTCTAGTTATTTTGAGTGTCCTCCCTGCTGCCTGTCTTTCCAATGCACCGGTTGTGCGTTCCTGAGGGACCCTAGCCCCTCTTGATTTTCTCCAGCTCTCCTGATACCGCCCTTCCCCATCTCTTTGTAGCTTCTTTGGTTTCTATGATGCAAATGAGACTGTCTTGGAGATGGAGGAGCAACTGGTGAGCCCCCTAGAATTACTTCCCTGTTTTCACCAAACACATCCAACCTCAGTCTAGTCCTATCTGCCACCAATCTGGGAGCTTATGGGTTTGCCCTGTGGGGAGGGAGTCCAGGACACCAGCAGGAACTCACTATGTCTCTCTCTTTGTCTTTCTTCCATTTGCCTTTACCCACCTCCAAGGTTTATCTGCGTGATTCTTTTGGGCTGAAGACGCTCTTGGCCCGGGGGGCCATAGTAAGGTGTCCGATGGCTGGGATCTCCCACACGACCTGGCACTCCAACCGTACCCTCTATGAGACCTGCATTGAACCTTGGCTCTCCTGAGGACATCCCCAGGGAACCCCCAGGACACCCCAGCCCAGAGACCAAGTGGTGGCCTTGGATAGCAGATGCCAGGCTCTGGTGTGCCTGTGACCGCCTCATTGCTCCCACACTGCCCCCACCAACCAGGGCGCCCTTCTCTGCTCCTCTGTGAATGACAAATCCTGGCCTCCCCCACCTTGTGTCTTCTCATCTGGGGGCTGCTCCATGCTCTCCCATCTTCCCAAGGCCAAGATGGGACGTGAGAAACCAGGTTTTTTAACTTGTGGCTGCTGCTGCTGCTCCTCCATCTCTGGCTGTATAGGAGGGGAACCCAGCCTCTGCCCACCACAGGGGTCTCCTTCCAGGCCACTCAGGACATTTTTAGCTTCTGTTCTCCCCATGTTCCCTTTTTCTCTGAACTCCCCTTTCGTCAGCCTTCCCAACCCCCAGTAAGGACTACTCATGAGAGTGAGGTTGAGGCTCTCCTATGAGGACAGTTCTGTTCTTGAAGTATCAGTGTTGGGGAATATCTGTGGCCTGTGAGGCCCATCTCAGGTTTGGGGATCCCCCAGTCCCTATGTTCAGTGTTGGGGTACCCCCTGGGAGCCTAGTTTCTTTGAGGCCCCAGCCCCTTTTAGCTACCCTTGAATGGGTGTTACTCCTGTATTTATGGAAATAAAGTTCCATTTCCTCAATTTGACTTGGCTTATTTCCAGGTGAGGGTGACCTGGCTCCCCAAGGAGGGTGGGGTTGAAGAGCCTCAGGCCTGGGTGCCCGGATGCCTAGTGTGGGGTGGGGGCCCCCTTTGTGTTTCCGCTCTCTCAATGCCCATTCTGTGTGGGTTCCTGGTTCTCTGCGGGTTCTTTCCTGCTAAGGACAATTCTCTTCCTGTCCCAGCCTAAGATGGGGGGCTGAGCCCAGGGCTCCAGTGGGTTGTGCCCTAACCACTTGGGTGGAATGCGACTGCCACCCCCAGGCCAGACGAGGGGGCTCAGGGTCAGGATGGGCATCTGTTGTGCCCCTTTTTGACCTTTTGTGGGCCAGAGCTGGGTGAGGGGCTGTACAATGAGCCTCCTCTTCCTAGAAAGGAGGAATTTTGGTGGAGACAATGGGGCCCTGTGTGCTCTGGCATGGGGGGGCAGCGGCTGACTCAGTGCTGCTCCCCTAGGCCTTAACAAATGTCATCAAGAAATGGGGACAATTTTCCCCTTAGTGCCCTGGGCTGCCCCTGGCGCCGCCGTTGGTGACGACTTGCCCTTCTTTCCTCAGCTGATCTTGCCTGTTCTCCCATGACCTGACCCTACTTTGTTCTCTGCCAGCTCTGCCTCTCTCCCTACCCTCCAATTCTCCCCCAGTCTGTGTTGGGTTGAAGGTGGGGAGGAGCCAGGGCCAGCGGTGCTGGTGTTATAGAACCAGAAGCTTCTGCTGATTTGAGGGGTCCCTCTGCTGATCAGAGGGTTGGGAAACCCTTTACTGGGGGTTGGGTGGGTGAGGCTATTAACACTTGGAACCCACTGAGCTGACCTAGCTGAAGCCGTGGAGGCGGCTTGTGGGAGGGGGCAAGAACGGGAGGCCTCTGTCTGGCCCAGCCCCTCCTCTCCATTGCAGCCCGCCCACCAGTTTGAACTGCTGTCGCTAAGGCTGGTCTGCCTGAAGTCTCCCGGAGAGAGGGAAAGACAGGTGGGAGAGAACGTCAGTGGGGAAGGAATGGGGGTCACTCAGAGCCTTAGAGGGAGCATGAGTGGGGGGTTCTGTATGAGTGAGGGGTGTGGGTATGTGAGGGCAGTAGGGATGTGTTTATGGTGTGGAGTCTCCAGGTGCGTGGGTGGGTGTATTAAGTTGTGAAGGGTGTAATGGTGAATATCTGAAGATTTGAAGATGTGAAGACCAAGGCAGAAGAGTGTGTTAGAGGCGGTCTGAGGGGAGGGCTGATGGGGGGCGGGGCGTGCAGAGGAGAGGTGGAAAAAGTATCTTGTCAGGGAGCTTGAGTGATGCTGCATGGACCATCATGCGCTAAAGGAAGGGGCGGTGTTAAATGTCCACTCAGGTGTAGACAATCCTGCTGGCTAGTGCAAGTGTGTATCTGTGATTGTCCTGTCCCCCTTACAGGGCACTAGCACCTGCTCTTGGAGCAGCTGGAGCTGGAGAAATTACTAGTTGCGGGAACGGGCCTCTCTTCACTTTTTTTTTTTTTAAGATATATTTATGCATATAAGAACTGGGGTGTAAGCCAGAGGTGTGGGGGTGGGGGGTGGGAGAATTCACCAGAGACAGAGTGGGGAGCAGAACAGGCAGATAGACTGAAGCGCCCTGCTGAGGGGAGCAGCGGGGGAGGCAGGAGAGGTCTGCTGCACCATGTGGGTAGCTCCCTGGCTGGGATCAAACTCTGCTGCAGTGGCTGCAGATAGCTTCATAGTGCCGCAACTTAACCCCTGCACCACCAGGGAGGCCCCCATTCTCCCCTTCACTTCTTCTTGCCCACAGCTGGCAGTCTGCAGTCAAGGAGAATCATGGGGTCCAGGGCTGAGCTGTGCACTCTATTGGGCGGACTCTCATTCTTCCTGCTACTGATGTCAGCCCAGGGGGCCAAGGGTGGATCCCTTAAAGACAGGTGACGATGGGGTTGAGGGCTTTACCAAATCTGCTGGGGTGGGGTTCCACTGGCAAAGACATTTAGAATTGTAGAGACTATCACCATGGGGTAGGGCGCTCAGTGGAACCTGGAGGGAGATGGGACTCTGGACTCCCCGCAACCTGGTGCACTCAATGTCTCCTATCCTTCACCACACATGGGTCCAGTCAGGGGGTCTGCTCCAAGCAGACACTGGTGGTCCCGCTGCGTTACAACGAGTCCTACAGCCAACCTGTGTACAAGCCTTACCTGACCCTGTGTGCTGGGAGGCGTGTCTGCAGCACCTACAGGTGAGGAAGGGGAAGCCTGGGCCCCAGGGTGTCTCAAGAAGCCCAGCCAGACCCTAGGCCAATGTCTGGAATGGGCACTGTGTTCCAGGACCACTTACCGGGTGGCATGGCGGGAGGTGAGGAGGGAGGTGCAGCAAACCCACGCAGTGTGCTGCCAGGGCTGGAAGAAGAGGCACCCTGGGGCACTCACCTGCGATGAAGGTGAGGTGGGGTCTCCCAAGGCCTGGAGGGAATGCTAGGGAGCCTGGCGTTGGTCCCCGGCTGAACCTCACTCCCTGCGCACCACAGCCATTTGCGCCAAGCCCTGCCAAAACGGAGGCGTCTGCATTCGGCCGGACCAGTGCGAGTGTGCCCCCGGCTGGGGTGGGAAGCACTGTCATGTGGGTGAGTCCGCTCGCCTTCCCGCAGCGGTGGCGCCAGGACCTCCCGCTCCACCATCCACCTGGCGCCCGGTCCCGCCCCAGCCCTCAGCCCCGTCCTCTCTCCCTTAACTAGACGTGGATGAATGCAGGATGGGCGTCGCCCTCTGCTCGCATGGCTGCCTCAACTCTGCAGGCAGCTTCACCTGTGGCTGCCCCCAGGGCCTGGTGCTGAGCCCAGACCAGCGCACCTGTGTGGAGGGCTCTCCGGAGCCCCCAACCAGTGCCAGCATCCTCAGCGTGGCAGGTGAGCAGATGGGAGTTGGGGACTTGGGGAGTGCTGGGGAAGGAGGTGGGCAGGAGTTGGGGGTGGGGACCGTGGTGATGAAATCCCATATCCTTTCCCTCTGCCCCGCCACCCCCCCCCAGTGAGGGAAGCGGAACCAGGTGAGCGCACCCTGAGGAGGGAGATTAGGGAGCTGCGAGGGCGGCTGGAGCGGCTGGAACAGGTAAGTAGCGGCCTCTGGGACCAAGTCCACAGGGAGGTGGCGCCCGAGTCCCAGCGGCCTGAGGCTTCTCTTCCCCTTGCAGTGGGCTGGTCAGGCTGGGGCCTGGGTCCGAGCGGTACTGCCTGTGCCACCCGAAGAGCTACAGCCTGAAGTGGTGGCAGAGCTGTGGGGCCGGGGCGACAGGATCGAGTCTCTCAGCGACCAGGTGCTGCTGCTGGAGGAGAAGCTGGGTGCCTGTGAGTCTGCCCCTCATTGCCTCACTCCCAACCCCCGCTGCCCCAGGCCACTTCCCTAATTCAGTCTTCTTTCACCTCCATCCTCCCCCCAACTTCCCCAGACAGCCCCACTTCCCCACCCCTTCTGGCAAGTCTCCAATCTGGTGATTCCACTCATTGTTGAGTGAGAATATTAAGTCTCTCAAGTGCCCACTGCCCACTCCACACTGGAGGCGGCCCCAGTGTCTGCCTTTCTCCTTGCCGTTAAGCAGGCTCCTGTGAGGACAACAGCCTGGGCCCAGGTCTCCACCGCAGGCGGAGATAAAGGAAGCAATAAAGGAACCGCTGCAAAGCCCCTGCCCCCTAATTTATACAGAAAGTGGACTCACTAATCCTTTGGGATTGGATGGCTGGAGAGCTGCAGATTTTTATCTGCCACTAAGAGGCAAGGAGCACCTTGCCTGACGAAGGTGGGCAGACTGCCTGGGCAAGAACTGCTCCTTCAACTCCTTAACAGACACAGCCAGAAAGTGCCCAGATCTCTCTGAAGCTTTATTCTTCATTTCTTGCTGTTATCCAGATAATTAATAAAACCAACCACGCAAAACTGGGTCCCACTCTTTCCTTTTGCTCCCAACCCACCTCCCCTGTTGTGGGCACAGGTCTGGGGTGGGAGGCAGGGAGTGGTTAATGCCATAGGGAGGAAATGAAAACTGGCTCAGAGAGGGAAAGCCTCAAAAGAAAGAGAAATAAATTAAAAGCCCTCCTATCCCCTCCAGCCAGGGTTCAGATCCTTTTCCCAACTCCCCAGGAGCAAAGCGAGTGCAGCACCTGATGTCTGCCTCTTCCCTGGTGTCTGTTTAGAATGGAGCAGCCAGGCTGCAGGGGGCTGGGTGGGGCCAGGACCACCGAAGAACTGTACCACAGGACAGGAGGAAGCAGAAATGTGAAGACCAAACTGGCATCCAGGAGTGTGCTCCACCCTGGGCGCCTGGGCACAGGCGGGGATGAGACCTCTGAGTTTGAAGAGTCCGGCCTCCGGACAGGAGGCTCCACGGAGGGAGGGTGAAGATGCTGAGGAGTGTTGCCAGGATCAGCCTGGGAGGAGTGTTCCAGGCATCAGCTTCCAGCCACAGCATGAGTCTTCCTCATAAAAGGATGAGTCCACTGATTCCACGGACTGGGGGGCGGCTTGGGGAACTGTTCCATAGAATGGATGAGTCTACTGGCCAATGTGGGGTGGTGGACGGGGAGAGACCACAAAGGAAGAGAGTCCACTGGGGACAGGATGGAGTGTTCCCACCCTGTGTAGGCTGAGCCACTGGAGATAAGAGGGAGGCAACCTTCCCACAGACAAGATGGCACAGGAGGTGGGTGGGGTCAGAGTGGAGACGGCACCGGCAAAGAATCTGGGGGCAGGGAGGTGGGAACTGGGAAGGGGCAGGGAGTGGTGCTGTATCCACATTCACTTCAGAAGTTGAAGATTCCAAAGAAGAGGACAAGTGGGGAGAGGGCAAATGACAAAGAGGGCTTCTCAGCCCTATTTCAGGGCCCACTGGCCTGGGAGGTCTGGGAAGGAAAGTGGGGGAGATGGGAGGGGAGCTCAGAGCCGGGCCTCTGCCACCCCTCCAGGCTTCTTCACATAGTCACCCCCACCCCGGCCATCGGTGGAGATCTCCCGGAAAACGGTGAGCATGGAGTGCCGGACTCTGTCGGCCAGAGCTGGGACGTCGTCTGGTGTCAGCCCTTCTGTGGGCACTGGAGGCAGCACCCGTACCTGACATCGCCCTGGGGGGGATGAGCACTGTCAGGGCCTGCAGACCCAGGCTTCTGCCCATTGTTGGGGCCGTTTCTGAGCCTCCCTGCTACTGTTTCTCAACCTTTTAGTTCTCTTCCCCTTGCCCGAGACAACTATCCTTTGGCTTGCTGCTCTTGAGGCACCCCCTGCACACAGCTTCCAGGTACCTCCGCAGCACCCTCGCGGCCCCCACTGCCTAGGTATGGCTTTCCTACTGAGTTGTTATTCTTATAGCTTTGTACACACAGGTTTTACCGTCCCTGCTAGACAGCAACAGCCCTTCCTGGAGGGGCCAAGTGTCACCCCCTTAGCATAGTGTGATGAGTGCTTAACAAATACTGGCTGACAGTCCTGTGGATATCTCAGTTCTAACACTGACCAACCCCCCCAGCCTCCTAGGGACATCTCTCTAGCCTCTCCCATGGCCTTGTTGACCAGCCCCAACCCCGGATCTGCTCAGAGCCCTCACCAGAAGTGAAGCGGCGCTCCTTCTTGCAGTAGAAATCTTGATAGGATGACATGACGATGGGGACAATGGGAACCTGAGGAATGGGAAGAGCGATCGGCTCACAGCTCCCTTCCAAGCCCCCTATGACAAGCCTGTGCCAAGAGGGGAAGGGATGGCGGGGGCTGGAGCTCAGCAGCAGGAGAGCTAGTACTCACCTGGGCCTGCACTGCAAGGTGAAAGGCGCCACGTTTGAAGGGCAGCATGGAGCCATTATGATTTCTTGTGCCCTCGGGGAAAACCCAAACCCGCACCTGGAGAAGAAAGAGCATCAGGGAAGACACACACATATGGAGGGGTCAGAAGATGTTTGTGAGGCTGCAATGGGACCACTGAGGCCCTCTGGCCCTGCATATTAGTTCATTGACAGCTGTTCCACTCTAGAACTGCCCCAGCCCCCATTTTTCCAGGGTGACTCACGTCCTGGGTGAGCAGGGTCTGGGCAACCTCAGACATGACACTGATGGCATCCCCAGTGCGCTTCCGGTCAATGAAGATGACTCCTGCCAGCCAGCAGGCCAGTCCAGCAGAGCCGGCCCACAGCAGCTCCCGCTTGGCAATGGGCACACAGCGACCTGGTAGTACCTCCATCATCCCTTGGGCAGAGGCAGGAATGGGGTGAAGATCAGGGGGTAGGCAGCCTACCAGCCCAGGCCATTACCCACATTACTAGGAACTGGAGGTAAAGGAAGAGGGAGGCTGGAGGTAGGAAAGGGTGCTGATGAGGGCAGTTCTACCCCAGGGAGAGAAGCTTGGGATGGGGGCAAGGCGGCCACATCTGAGTTAAGGACCTCTAGGGAAGGCAATTCTGGGGGGGTCCAGGAAGAAGGACATGGTTAGAAGGTATGCCCTACGGAGGGGTCTCACCGAGCAGGTCGAGAGAGCTCTGGTGGTTGGACACCACGACATAAGGTTGTGAAGGAGGGAAGTGGTGAGCCCCTCGCACCTCCACTCGGATCCCATATAGGTATTTGACATGGAGCAGCATCAGGCGCAAGATCCTGTGGGGTCAAGGCAAGGGATTCCATCAGGATCCACTGACATCCACCTGCAAACCTCGGCTGCCCCCACCCCACCATCTGTGGGGGCAGTGCGGCAGTCCTCTCCCCTTCCTGGTCCCCGGGCCTTCCCCATCCACAGCTCACTCTGACCCTGGGGTTCCCTCATTACCCAACCCCCTCACTTCATGTTCTCAACGTTGCGTCCTCGCACAGCACACACGGGGATGGCAAGCACAGCCAGGAAGAGGATCCAGCCATTGTAGAAGGCCATCTTGAAGAAGTACTTGGCACTGGGGCTGCAGAACCACAAGGCAGGCAGCAGGAAGAGCAGCAACAGGAAAAGCAGCAGCAGCACCGTCCATACCCCGGGCCACAGCTCCATTCTGGCCACCTGCAGGGGACAGGGAAGGGAGAGTGGACCCGGTCCCTGGAGGAGAGCAGGACATGCAAGGCACACAGCCAGGGCTGTGAGGCCAAGGGCAGCAGACACAGAATAGGGCCAGAGTTCCCATGGATGGGGCGGCGGTGAGGGTGCTGAGGACTGCTCTCTCATCCCTCTCCCCCAAGACTCCAGATGTATTCAGACAAGAGACACATGATAATAAGCGGACAATAATAATGACAGCTAACACTTGTTTTATAATGGTCTATACCTGCACTGTCCAATATGGTGGCCACCAGCCACATGGATGGCTACAGAACACCAGAACGTAGCCTGCTGTGAGCTGAGATGTGTGGAAGTGTAAAACACACTTGAGATTTCAAAAACTGAACAAAAAACAACATAAAAAAAATCCCATTGGGCCTCCCTGGTGGTGCAGCGGTTGAGCGCTGGGTTGCAAAGCTGCCCGTGGCCTCTGCAGCGCTGGTTCGATCCCCAGCTGCTCCCCAGCCACCGGAGGAGGGTCCCACATGGCGCACAGACCTCTCCTGCCGCCCGCTGCTCCCCTCAGCAGTGTACTTTGGTGCTTCTGCCTGCTCTGCTCCCCGCTCTGGCTCTGGTGAATTCTCTTACTCTCCCGTGCTTCTGACTGTACCCAGTGCTTGTATAAATAAATAAATAAATCTTAAAAAAAAATCCCATTAAAAATCTTTTATTTTGATTACATGTTGATCAACACCATAAACTTTTGGACACACTGTTCAATAAAACATACAATTAAAATTAACTACACCCTGTTACTTTTTACCCTTTTTGGTATACTTACTAGAAAATTAAAAGTTATACATGTGGCTTGTTGGATGGTGCTGTCTATATACTGCATTAAATCCTTAAATGATCCACTCAATTTACATTTTATAGGAAAAAGGCCCAGAGAAGTAAAGTAACTTACCTGAGATCACATGGTTGTTGAGACAATTCCTAGCTTGAGCATAAGCAGCTCGTGTTCCTAACCCCTTGGCTACACTGCACTCACACACACACAGCGCACAGCAGATACCGTACGAGTGACAAGATACCCGTGGACATTCTCAAGAGCTAACTGGCAAGAAGGAAGGCTCTGTCACCAACACAGTCATCTGGAGACCCATCCACATGCATCCAGAAATTTACAATTGCACCCAGAGATAGATGAAGGAATGTAAATGCATACCTAGAAAAATCTCCCTCCACTAGGCAGCCTCCCCCATCCCAGAAAAACCCACAAACATACCAGGAGTAGCTATATCCATCAATCCTGCCTCCACAGGCAGGCAGCCACATCTACCAGCCTTCCTCCCTCTCTGTTAGTGCTGGAAGCAATTTGGTCAGGCAGCTACAGTCATCAAGTCTCACCAAATTAAAAAACAAAACAACCCAAAGCCATGAAGGCAGAGTCATACCACTTGTCCCAGGAAAGAGCTCTCAGGAAGAGGAGGCCCTGGGCACTGGAACCTGCCTTCTAGGCTTTTCCTCCTTCCTCCACCTGCCTCACTGCTGGGGGCAGGGTCTTTATTCACAAAAAAGGGTGTTCAGGCAAATAAATACCTGTTGTTCACAGCGAGGCCATGGGCACTCTCTTCCAAGAACAGGAAGGGCTAAGCTCAAAGGGCAGCCCATTGCCGAGAGGCCAGCAGCACCAACCCATTCCTGCTGCAAGTTCAGACCTGCTTTTCTCCCCTGGACTATTTGCAAAAGACTCCTCTCCCCCTCACACCAATCCGTGACCTCTTGTCTTCCACATGACCACCGACATTTTTCTATAACAAAAATCTGAGGATTTGTTTTGCCCAAAAGCCCTTTTGACAAGTTGACATCTGCTCAAATCTCTGGCCACATCCCCACAAAAGCCTTTTTTGCTCCAGTCAAGCTGATTTACTTCAGTTCCTCAGACACACCGTGATCCTTCATACTTCTGTGCTGTGAACATGCTGTTTCCTTTAGCTTAAATGCCTTCTGCCTCTTCTTCACTTGCCTCACACAGTGTCACAGGTTTTGTTTGGGCAAAACAAAACCCCGCTTGAACCCCTCCAGGCCTGGGCGTTCATTAAGCCTTTATCTTGACCACTGGTTCTCAAAGTATAGAACTGCAAACCCTTGACCCTTACCCCAGATTTTTTGAACCAGAAATTCAGGGCGTGGGCCCATCAATCTATAGTTTAACAAGCCCACCAGGTGAATCTAACGGCACTAGAGTTTGAGAACCACTGATCTGGACACCACACTGTGTAACTAGCTGCTTGCTGGTATTTTTATTTCCTCCCTAGTCTGTAAGTAGCTTGAGGACAGGACTCTGTTTTATCCCTGTGGCCAGGTGAGAAAGAGAAGGTGCTCAATAAACATCTGCTGAGCAAATTATAAGGCTGTCCACCACCCACTCAGCTGTAATTAATGAGATGACAGTTCTTATTAATCAGATATGAGGCGCCAAGAAAGCCATAAACACACCATGTCCCACAGTAACCTCCTCTGAATACACATGTACGCTATGTGGCCCGAGCAAGCGATAAGTGCCATCTCACACACGACAAACAGAAAGGGGATCAACAGGCCACACACGGGGAAAGGTCATCAGATACAAGGCAACAGTACAAAGAATGGGGGGCAAATAACATGCGTGGCGGGGCTGACCCTGCGGCAAGCCGAGCTCCATGGGCACAGCCTGCACTTTGCACTGGCCACTGGGGAGAGAGAGTGAAGACTCAGGCCAGACAGATCAGCAAGGTAAGGCATGTGGATTTGCCTCTTTGGGAACTTGGAGGCCCAGCCACCTTCTCTAAGGCTTGTTATTAAGCGCCTTTCAAGAGCAGAACCCACCAAGAATTTCTAAACACAATGGGGTGCCAAATGGGTAAATGAGCACAGCTCACAAAACACACTGCCAATAACTTGACGAAGAATATAGTGTGTGTAAACAGGAGCACACATGCCATGAACACATCACATCGGCGCATGGTGTGAAGGGGCACGCACGTGTGCGGTGTGAACCAAGACTGGGAAAACACGTGCAGCAGAGACTGACCCCGAGACGAAATGAGGTGTGCTGGCCAGCTAAGCCACAGAACCCCGCATGAGGACTACCGCATACGGTGGGTCCGTGGACATAACACGGGAGCCAAACTAAGGTATGATCTTTACACCCTTAAACAGGCAAAAATGAAATGTGCAAGAAACCCCATCATAGATAAAATAATGAAAGCTCGCACACTTGAACATATTGCGCCTAGATCTGAGGGATGGACATGACATGGGAATGGTTAATTCTAATGGAAAACATCATCATATTTCTCCAGTTCATGGTTAACACAGGGCAACCGAGCTGCACACAACTTACTAAACATGTCAACAGCACACAGGCTCAATGTAGAAAGCACAGTCCCCCCACAAGGCATCGGGGTATCAGTAAGGGTATAGCACAGTGTGGAAGGCCACTGAGAAGCAAGAGATCCTGTGCCTAGATGGAAACAGAGGTATCTGAGGGCATTCCTAGGCAGCAAATTCTGCTGGGAGAAAGAGAGTAAGTAATAAATGCCTTCACCCCGCCCCACTGCCCCGCTCCCCAAGAGTGGTGTGGGGCCAAAGGGCAGGAAAAGGAATTTGGTAGTGTCAGGATTTCCTCTCCGGGATTCCCTGTCCACACCCCCATCCCAAATTCACAGAGACTCCACCTCTCCTCCCTCTCTACCAGTCTTCCTCCCTCTCAGGCCCCTTCTTTCCCAGCAACCCTCTCCCAGTCCGCCCTCCGAGACCCAATCTTTCTCCCATCCCCTCCTCCAAGTCCCTTTCAGCACCCTCCACCCTCCTCCACCCATCCCTTTCCCGCCCCCACCTCAGTGGGGTGGGGGGCCTGGGGGGCCGGCCCCCTCCCCAGCCAGGCTGCGGCAGCGGTGGTGGCGGTGTGTCTCTGCCTCGGTCGGGGTGTCGGTGCCAAGGGGGCGACAGGATTTGGGGGTGTCCTAGCCCCGGCCGATGGAGGGGAGGTGAGAGTGGGAGGCTGGGCCCATAGCGGCAGGAATGGTGGGGGGTTGGCCCCCCAGCTCCCTCCCTCCCTTCCTGCTGTCTCTGAGGGCTGGGGCTGCTGCCGCCGCCGCTATCCCCCCCCACCCCTCCCCAACGCCTGCTGGTTTCCGGGGCCGGCCAGGAAGTAGGGGGCGGTGATGGGCGGCCTGTTTTGCCAATCGCCTCCCAGCGACCCAGACTTCTCCTTCCCACATCCACCAGGCTTCTCTGGCTGGCTTTAGAGCTCAGCAGCTGGGTTCTGCCTCTGGCTCGCTCAGGCTCCAGCTGCATCTCTTTCCCCCCTCCAACTGCCTTTCAGTGCACACAGCTGTGTTTCTTGGGGCTGTCTTCCTTTCTCGGCTCTCGCCTCATTTCCCATCAGCTCTTCTCTTCCAGCCACTTTTACTTGGTTTCTCTCGCTCTCCTTGACTCCCGGATCGGCTGCTTACTCCCTCCAACTCCTACTCTTCTCCAAAAACTCTTTCCCTGTCCCCCATTCTATTCCAAACATTTATCAAGCACCTACTTATACGCCAAGCACTAGTGCTCCCCGTCTTTTTTCCCTCCATCTCTCCCCAACTCGTTCTGCGGTGCCCTTATCAGTTATCTCTGCTTCTTTGCCCACTATCTTCCAGCAGTTCAGGCCCCTCCTCCACCCGCCTCTCTCTGGTCTTTAAAAAGAAGGGACACTCTCAGCCCCTCTCCCTGCACCTTCAACGCTTCATTAATGAGTACCTTTTCTTCCTTCGAACCTTCCTCACTGTCAGTCTCCTTACCCAAGCTGATTCAGCCCCTCTCCCCAACATAGAATCTGGGTGCACCGTTTCATCCAGTGGAAACTGGGCTCCTTGGGGGAAAAGAGGAAGAATGCTGATTCCTAGGGAATGAGCACGCTTCTGTAGTTTTGTAGCCAGGGGGTTGGTTTCCTCGCCAGCCCTTACCCACCTCTCCCCAGACTCCCGCTATACCTTTGCCAGGATCATGCCATCACTCCTCCCTCCTTGGTCTCCGAGAGCTTTCCCTCTCAGTAACTTTTCCCCAAACCTCTTCAGACCTCCCCTGCCCTCCTCAAGGAAAACTCCCAACCTCTCACCTTGCCTCACTTGAGTCATGTGGGACCTTTTATCAGGGTACTGCTGAACAACCCTCAAGCTGAGCCTGCCCTCACTCCTAGACACACCTTTGCCCTGCATGAGTTTACACGCACTGAGGTAGAGAATGTAAAGAACTCTGCTAGTGGGAGGGCTGTTACCTAGTTCTGCTCCTTGGGTCACAGTGAGGGTCACTGACTGTAGGAAAAGGCCAAACTCGGACGAGAGGCCCAAGCTCTGAAGCAGCTTGCCCAAGTCCCGGGGGTCGGGCCCGGGAGGAAGACCCCAGTGCGCCCGGGCATATTACAAGAAGGAAGGGGCGGGCCTAACCCCATTCCGCCAAGGGTCGCCTAGGAAAGGGGCGGGCCTTGGCCCTCGGCCCCGCTCGCCGAGGGGTGGAGCTAGAGCTTTTCTGCTCTTAAGTTTTGTAAACCCGAGTCGAGGTCAAAGTCGTTCTACTCTGTATCACATGAAGGGACGGGCGGGGCTCGAGTCCAGCTCAGCTCTGTAAATCACCTAGAGGGGCGGGCTGATCGTCCAGCCGAGGGAGAAGGGTTAACACCAACACGGCAGACCGACGTTCACACCATCCAGACTTCGGTCTAATCTTAGGTCTGCTCCCTGCTGCTCTGAGAGGGAGGAGCGAGCCCAAGTTCTGCTCTCTACGTCACCGAGGGTGGCCGGAGCCATTTTGAACCCTGCGACCCTAGTGTTTGCCCTCTTTGCCGGCGCTTCGCTGTCTTTCCCCATCTCGGCCAATCAGAGGCGAAAGAAAGGGTCCAATCAGCCGAGAGAGTCCACAGCCAGAGGACCCGGATGTGGCCCAGTCGAGGCCTTTGAACTCCAAGCCCCGCCAATTGTAGGGCAGTCACCATGGCGACAAGATAGAGGTAAAGGGGTGGGACCAGAGAAAGAGCAACCTTCAGGGTATTGGCTCGCCCCTTCCCGCCTCCTAGTGCGCACGCGCACTTTGCCTAACCACCATTTTCCGTAGAGTTCTAGCCAATCACTTGCTTTGGAGCCGTACGCTCCAAAGTCCTATAGGAGTGCGGACATTCTCAGAAAGAGGAAAAGAGGTTTATGGTGGGCGAGGCCGATGTAGTCCCGAGCCAATTGCGTCTGGCTTTTGGTTATGACTGGCAGCTACTCGGACGAATCATGTCCTCCCTGGATGCGCCAGGCCCCGTAGACTCGTTACCAATCCCATGGCAATGCATACGGACTGCGGCTGTATCAGCCAATAGTCATTGTGCAAGGGCAGGACCGCGCCAACATCTTCCCACCCCCACCCTTTGAGCCAATCGCTTCTTTTGAGCCTGTGTGACTGACAGGTACGCTGACCAATAGTGATTAGGAAACCCTGAAGCCTGCCCAACAATCGTGAGCAGGAGGCGGCTTCTCGTTTGTTAGGGCGTGTGTGTGTGTGTTTGGGGGGATTAAGGGGTACGCGGGGGCGAAGCAGAGGCCATGGCAGCAGCGGAGGAGGAGGACGGGGGCCCCGAAGGGCCAAACCGCGAGCGGGGCGGGGCGGGCGCGACCTTCGAATGTAATATATGTCTGGAGACCGCTCGGGAGGCTGTGGTCAGTGTGTGTGGCCACCTGTACTGGTGAGAATCCGGGACGCGGGCGAAAAGTGGCGGGGGTTCACCTCCATTCCTGGGGAGGCCGGGGGCTGGGAGCCGTACTAGTAAGCAGATAACCAGAGGGCACATCCTTATAGGTGAGGCCCGTGGAGGGACTCACGTGGATTTGTGGATGGATTTGGGTGGGCGGGAGGGTCACGTCTGTACAGACAAGGTCTGTGGAAAGGAGAGTCATAGGAATTAGATGCTGGGGTTTATGGTGTGTTCAGGGTGTGTGTGTTGGGGGGGTGGGGGGGGGTGGATCACCGCACATCTGCTCAGGTGAGACCCAAGGGAATTGAGGGGTCTTAGTTGTACAGATAGGATGGACTAGACAGAATGGGGGTGGCACGCGTCAGTTGAGTGGGGAAGACCTAGGGAATGTAGGCTCACATTCAGGGGAGATCCAGGGGGAGTGGTATGACAAACTCGGGGACAAGGACAGAGTGGAGGGGCAGCCCTGAAATTTAAAGGGTTGTGGAAATAGGGCCATTTATTGGGCTTGAGAATGAGGAAAAGGAGTAATGGGGGGAGAGTCTAGTAGAGGTGGTTTGGGAGTGATGGGAGCAGGCATGGGACTGGAACTGAAAGAGGAGATACAGAAAGGTGTGCTTGAAGAAAAGTGGAAATTAAGTTGAAAGGCAGACAAGGGTGTGTGTGTGTGTGTGTGTGTGTGTGTGTTGGCAGAGAGAAAAGAGGTGAGGGTTGAGCATATTGAGGATGGATGTAGGTGTTGGAAGAACGGAGAAGTGAGAAGGCCATCCTGGCTGGCATGACAGAGGTTGCAGAAAATATGAACAGGAACAGCTGGTACTATCTGGGAACTGTGGGGCGGGGGTTAAGATGGGACTCTGAGTTTGGGTCTGTGCTCTCATTTCTGGAGCTAGTTTCACCTTTTTTTTCCCCCCCATCCAGTTGGCCGTGTCTTCATCAGGTACGTACACGGAGGAGCTGATGAGGGTAAATGGGGAGGTGTGAGGAGCTGGAAGGTCCTGCCGTCTACTGGGTACCACTTCATTTTTTCCCCTCAGTGGCTGGAGACACGGCCGGAGCGGCAAGAATGCCCAGTGTGTAAAGCTGGGATCAGCAGAGAAAATGTTGTTCCCCTTTATGGGCGCGGGAGCCAGAAGCCGCAGGATCCCAGGTGACAGAGAGGAGGTGGTGCTGAGGGAAGGTGGAAGGTTATTTGCCTAGGAGCGGGGCGTGTAAGAGGACATTTCCTATTGATATCCCTCTCTTCCTCAGATTGAAAACCCCACCCCGTCCCCAGGGCCAGCGACCAGCTCCAGAGAGCAGAGGGGTGAGTTTGTCTGACTGTGTTCCAGCCTCATTGGAGACTTGGCCAGTGCCCCTCTGACTCTGTCCACCTCCCTAGGGATTCCAGCCATTTGGTGACACCGGGGGCTTTCACTTCTCATTTGGTGTTGGTGCTTTTCCCTTTGGCTTTTTCACTACTGTCTTCAATGCCCACGAGCCATTCCGTCGGGGTACAGGTAAGAGCATTCCCTGGGTGCCCACCAGGGAGCCCTCCCAAGCCCTGCAGGCCCCCTCCCACTCAGGAGTGGTTGTTTCTTGCACAGCTTTCCTCTCTCCCACAGGTGTGGATCTGGGACAGGGACACCCGGCCTCCAGCTGGCAAGACTCCCTCTTCTTGTTTCTCGCCATCTTCTTTTTTTTCTGGCTGCTCAGTATTTGAGCTGTGTCTACTTCCTGCCCACCTCCAGCCAGAGGAGAATCAGTATTGGGGGTCCCTGCTGACCCTTCCTTACTCCTGGACCCTCCCCTTCAACCTCTCCATTTCTGTCAATTGAGTCCACTCTCCAGGAGGGTGTGGGGAGTGACATCTGTGTATAGGATGGAAAACCTGCTTTGAACTGCTCACTCGGTGACTCTCAGCTCTGGGAGAGGACAGACTGAAGATGATGTCTGTTTCTCCTCTCTTGATCCTTTGCTTCCCCCCCCGCCCCCCGATTTCTTGATTTGATGTTGAAAGGTGGGCAAGATTCCTTCTGACTCCCCCACGTTCCCCTTGTTGATTTAATTTAATTCTCCTTGCCCCAGTGTCTTTTATGGGTCTGACTCTTAAATGCTTCCTTCCCCTCACTACCTCCTTTATTACAAATTCAATAAACAAGGTGAAATGTATTGCTGGGAACTTAGCCCACTCTGTCCTTTCCTGTTTCCTTCTAGGACAGGAGCACCTTCTCCCCAACTTGCGTAGATGTTGACCTGGTATAGGGAAGTATGGGGGTGAGCCCCTTTCCTTTGAGGCTCCCCTCGATGCAAGGGATGAAGGCATCACAGACATACACACAAGAGCAAACTGGGCAAGATGTGACACGTGTTTACTCGTCACTGTTGGTGGGGGGCTCTGGTGGTAGAAGGACGTTTGTCGAGGTGAGATTATACAGGGGAGAGCTGAGCAGAGTATGGGATGGAGTCTGGCTGCTGGCCCCTCAAGACCCTCCTGCACTGCTCTCTGCTGCCTCTGGCTCCTCTGACTGATTAAGCTCTGCACGTTCTTCCTCCTCCTCCCGGTTTTCTGGGGCTTTCCTGGGGGGGAGGGTTGAAGAGAATGCTACACGTGGCTTCCAGCACTTTGGCATTCCTCCCTCACACCCCTCACTGGCTGGAAGCCCCAAGTCTGAGGTGTCTGGCTTCATCCACTCACCTCTGCTGTCCTCTGCGCCGCCGTCTTTGCCACACGATGATCCCAATGAGCAGGGCTGCTACCCCCAGGCCTCCCAGGACCCCCAGGGCCAGGGCTAGAGTTCCTAAGCCTTCCACAAGGCCTGGAGAGAAAGGCAGAGAGTTGAGGGTACCCTCACCTCCAGCACTCACCATTCCTCTCTCGTTGATTGTCTCCCTAGTTGTGTTGGAGTCTGTCTGCTTCTCTGACGTTATTGCAACTTCTCACCTGTAGGTGATCTTTCACCTGTTTTTGGGAAGTCAAAGTTGACATCAATCAGAAGGGAAGGCTTCAGTTGGGGAGAGGGCTGGTTAGTGGGAGTCCCAGTGGAGTCTTGCCCCTTCAGTTCAGAGGGGAGAAGGGGCATACTGGATTGCTCTCTTTGTAGGGTGTGGGTGGGGCAGAGAAAGCCTGGGTGTAAATGGGCTGAGCAACATGTGGGGGGCTCTTAGGAACAATGCCAGGGTGGGGTAACGAACTACAGCCTGTGCTGTCCTTGAGCTCAGTCCCAGGGTCTCTGGGGTTTGGGGAGAGGTCTCACCGGTGATGCCAATGCTGACAGCACGGCTTTCCGAGGACCCATGGATGGGATGGGTGACCACGCAGCTGTAGTTTCCCTCGTCCTGAGGCTCCACCTCAGAGAGAAGCAGCACTGGGCTGGGAGGATGGGGCAGGGTTGTGCCCTGGTGGGAAGGGATCAAGAGATTACAACCCTTCTGCACGCCTCCCACACTCCTGTCTTTGTCTCCACACCCCACCTTCCCCCTCAGCCTTTCCCTCCATGAGCTCTCATCCACCTAGTTGCCAATTACGTAGCTGTTTCCCAGCCTCCTCTTCAGGTCACTCACATCCTTGATCCAGTGGATTTCAGGAGGGGGCTGGACAGAAGTTTCGCAGCTCAGGGTCACAGTGCCACCCAGCGCTACCATTCCATCTTCTGGCTCTGCCACCAATTGAATCTCCAGAGACTCGGGCTTGGGCTTGGGGTCTGGGAGTGGGAAGGGGCATGAGGTTGAGAGTGATGCCTGTGGGTGGTCCCAGTGGCCATGGGCTTACCCTTCCCTCCCAAACTTTCCCACCTCTGCACTTACTCCTGACACTGAGCCGGATGGAGGTCGTGCGTAGGGGTCGGGTCCGTGGAAGGCCAGGGCGAAAGCTACAGGAGAAGGTGTAGTGGGTTGCTTCTCCCTGGGTTGGGGTCACTGTCAGCTCAGACTGGAGTGTGAAAAGCCCTGTCTCGGGGTGTCTTCTGGTCTCTTCCTTCACAGATACTCCTATGATGTGGGGAGGACAAGGTAAGACACCCCAGAGTCGGTGTGGGAGAAGGTCCGATAGAAGGCGGTTAAGAGGAGGAAACTTGAGACTAACCTTTGCCATCAGGTATCAGGGGTTTCCTATTCGAGTGCCAGGTAAGAGTCCCTTCAGGGTAGCCCCCCTCAGACACACATGTGCCCACCTGGGAAAGGAGTGGCCTCATCACCTTTGGAAATAAGAGGCTCCATACACATACCCACTGCTACACTCCCCTCCGGTTCTCAGGACCACTTCCTACTCCCCTTCTACTACCTTACTGGGTACACCAGCCTTGAGTTCAGAGGCAGGATCAATAATTTCTGGCTTCTCAGGTATCTCTGAGGGAGGGAAAATCCAAATAAGAGGCTGGAAGACACTCACACCCCAGTTGGTGGGGAAGGGGGCAGCCGAAGTCAGAAATTCTCATATAGGGCCCAAGAGTCAAGAGCTGGGGTAGGAGGTTTGACCTTAGATGAGAGAGAGGTGGGCCTCAGAGTACGCTCTGAAATCCTTACGGTAGACTTGAACTTGGTAACTGTAGTTGATCTCTTTTCCACTGCGGCTCATCGCCTGGCACCGGAAAGTCCCCTCATCCTGGATCCCAACAGATGGCAGGAGGAGGGAGCCATTGGGAAGGATCCGAGCCACGCTATCCCAGGAACCTCCCTCGGGAGACAGGACCTTCCAAGCTTCCGTCCGACCTGTGTTCTGGGGATGGAGGAAAGAGGCCTAAGGGGTGCAAGCCCTTTGGGAAAGGAAGGATGAGGCAGGAAAGTGGGGATTTGAATCCGCACTGATCTCTGCAAGGGGAGGCTGCCACAGGAGCCCAGCTTACCAGTTTCCATTCCAGCTGCTGGGGTGATTTCCTGGGGACGCCCCTACAGTTCAGCACCAGTGGCTTTCCAATCTGGGCTGTGACGTTTCGACCTTGGACCACTGCCCCTGGGAGACAACACCAGGGTAGAGGGGCGGGATGGGAGATGGGGCTAACGTGACAGGTGAATGAGGAAACTTGAAAATGAATGCTCAGTTTCCAGCAAAGTTCCAGGAGAGATTGGGGGTGGGCACAGAGTTATTTTTGCGGGGGTGGGGGTGGGGGGATGGGAGTTGGTGTAGGGGGAGTGGCTCACCCCACAGACTGAGGACCAGCACCCAGGCTCCAGCCGCTGCACCTGCTGCCATCCTGCTTCCTTCCTGGGCTCCTGGCTCTGTCTGCCCCTCTCACTGTGGAGTTGGACGCCCTAGGTGGGGCTTGCCACCCTCAACCCTGCCCCATTTCCCCATCCCGTCCCGGCACAGGGAATGCTAGGAATTCATGCCTCTCCGACAAGAGTCCTTCAGGTACAAGGAGAAACAATTGTCACCCCACCCATGGGCATTGCCAGCCTCCTAGGCACAGTCACATCCATGGGGGTGGGGAGCACATCTCCTAGAGCTTCTCATGCCCTGAGGACCCCCAACCTATTGCATCAGAGAACTGTCTGGTGGACCACCACAGCCCCGTCCTGACTAGGCAAGATTATTGACCGACAGGTTTTGGGGGGCAGGCAGGATCTTGAGAGGAGGTAGCAGTGAACTGAGGGGCCTGGGTGGTCAGGGCAAAGCTGTGGGAACCAGGGGAAAAACCTGTTTGGGACTTTAAGAGAAAAATACTTTGAGGTTTCTCATGTTTTTGAAAAAAATTCTCAACTAAACCCAGGGAAAAAAGAAATTTCTTTATTTAAAACTGCATTTTTTTTTCTTCCTGTGAAACTACAAGTTTACAAGTGAGGAGAGAACTGCCCCTGGCCCGTGCCTCCCACCCTCCCACCCATCACATTCCCATCCTGCCCCCCCAGTCCTGCCCAGATCTTTGATGGGAGGGGTTCCCACTATGACAGTCTTATATAATCCTGAGGATGTTTGAGGGGTTCAGATGGTGGGGTTCAGGGCTGAGGATGGGACAGTGGTGATTTTACTTCTCCCCCACACCTGGCTTTTTGCAACCTCCCTCCTCTCCCCACCCCCTTGATTTTGGACTATTAAAAAAAAAAAACAACAACAAAAACCTCATTTCTGGGGAAACCGAGGGAGATATCCACACAAGCACCCCAACCCATATTTAATGTATTTGGCAATAACCTCCTCCTCATTCTTCCCCCTTCAAAATGATTTAAAAGTGTGTCATTCACAGGGGAAGGTGGCATCTGTGAGGTGGTGTGTCCTCAAAATGACTGAGTCCAGCCTGGCCTAAGGGTTGTGGGAAGAGGGGGGCCAGCCAGCACAGCAGGCCCCTGAATCCCTCCACACCAAGTACAGCAGAAGGCTGCCTGCACAGGCAAACACCTAAGTGACTTTACAAGCAAAGGCGAACACCTCAGTGATTCTGGGGGGCGGGACTGGCGCCCTGCTAAGTGCACTTCCTGATGGACAGGACTGCAGCCAGGTGGGCCTCCGCACCCTTCTATTCATTCCCCTTTCTCTTATCATGACCCCTTTGGCTATCACCCCTAATACGGGAAAGCAACAAGTTAAAAAAAATCAACATATTTATAAAAACATCTACTTCCCCAAACTAAGTGAAAAATTAAGAACCAACAACAAACCAAAAAAACCCAAAAAACAAACAAACAAAAAACAGATGGATCCCAGGGTTTCATTTTCTTTCCTTAAAAAAAAAAAAAAAAAAAAAAAAAAGGTTCAACCCCAAAGCCCAGTCCACAATTCCCTAAAGTAGCAGAAACTCCCTCCGAGGTAGATATCTGAGTCAGACACTCTCGTCCACCGAGCGATTCTATTGGTTTAAGATGAGCTGCGTATGAGGTAATAAAGCCGTCTGGGGGGGCCTGGGGTGGGGAGGCACAGGGGGCGTGGCCCAGAGCCTCTGTCCAGAAGTGTGTCCCCATTTTTGGCATCTCTGGTAGGGCAGGGCTGGCGTCTCCACAGATCTCAGAGCAGATAAGTGGGGTGGGGGAGGGAGAGTGGGGGAGCCCAGAGAAAGAGAGAACAGTGTGTGTGTGTGTATGTGACAGAGGAGAAAGGAAGGATCTGAGAAAGGATTCTGGGTGTGTTTCTATGGAAGAGAGAGGGGAAAAAAAAAAAGACCGAAAAAAGGGGGAGACAGACTCCACTCTCCCTTTAGGGGACCTCATTCTCCCTGCCATGTAGTCAGTACCCCAAGCACTGAGAGTCTGGGCGGGGAGGGGACAACCCCATTTGCCCTTCTGTCTTGTGCTTCTCCTGGGTCTGGGGTTTGTCCTCTGGATGCCTGTGTCCTCTTCCTGTCGCCTTGTAAGCCCCCAACCCTGTGGCCCTGAGGGCCGAGATCAGTTGGAAGTGTCAGAGTGGACGCTCCCTGGTCCCTCTGTTGGGGATGTCACTGAGGATGGGGTCACAGCCTCCTGCCAGCCGCCGTTTGCCTGGGAAAAGAGAGAGGGAGAGTTGGGGGAAGGCTCTGGGAAAGCCAGTATGGGGAAAAGGCCCTCCTGTTCTGGGAGAGGTGGAGAGAGGGGTTTCAGGTATCCACTTACCCTCATTTCCCGAGGGCTGTACATCTGGCCTCCTCCGAGGTTGTCCCCGTAGCCTCCTGGCCCCATCGAGTGTCGGAGTGATTCCACCTGCAGGTAGCAGAGGAGGTCATCAGCAGCGAGAACCTCAAGAGACCCCTTCTATCCTCAAGGAAGGGATCCGAGTTTGGGCCAGTCCTGCTCACGGGGAGAAGGGCCACCTGACCTGGGAGGCAGAGTAGGAGTCTCCGTTGAGGCCGGGCATTCCCAGAAACATGTCTCCGGATCCTGAGAGATTGAAAGAGCCGCCAGAGCCTTTGGGAGCAGAAAGGGAGGTAGGGAGAGGACAACAGAGCCTGTGATGGCAGATAGGAGACTCACCACAGCTCTGTTTCCAAAATGCCCTACCTCTGAGGGGCACCCCTACACACAAACCAGCCACAAACAACACGGTGCGCCGGGGAGGAGCAGGCTGTTCCTGAGCCCCCTTCCACTCCCTGGAAGGGCAGCAGTGACTTCACTGAAGAGGTCCCTGTCCTGACATTCCCAGCCCCCTCAGCTTGGTCCCTCTCACCCCAAAAGGCCCCCTTTCGGCTACAATCCTGCCTAAATAGGAAGTGGGAACAAAAGCAGGAAGTGTGCAAAAGAGCCAGGCAGGGTGGCAGCGGGATCCACCTGCTGAGGAAGGGGGTGTCGGGGAGCTGGTGCGGCTGTGACCCCCCTGGGTGACAGACACGGCCGTCTTGACAGCGTAGATGTTTGCCTCCTCTTGGAACTTTCCAATGTTTTTTTTATAGCGAATCCGCTTGTTGCCAAACCAGTTGGAGACCTGTGAGGTATGGGGCAGAAAGAAGGGTCAGGTGCGAACCTTTCCTTCTGGGAGACCCTCAGGTCAGTAAGAGCAGAGAACTTTTGGCCTGCAAAGTCCCCCCAAGGCTCTCCCATACCTGAGAGACGGTGATCCCGCACTTCTTGGCCAGCTCCTCCTTAGCCTCCTCACTAGGATAGGGGTTACTCAGGTGGGAGTAGAAGTACTCATTTAGGACCTCAGTGGCCTGTTTGCTGAAGTTACGGCGTTTCCGTCTACAGAGGGACAAGGGTGGCAAGGTCACTGGTGTCCCGGCAGGGCCGCCATGCTGCTCATCCCCCAGGGCACCCCCCTCAGGAACACTGTGATCAACTCTGTGGCCCAGGGGTTTGGGGAGCAGCAGGAAGGAGCCCGGGGCTGGGTGGGTCCTGGAGCCCCACCTGGCATCCAGGAATCGGGAACGCAGGATCATGACGGCCTCGCAGGTGCTCTGCTTGAGCTGCATCTGGATGGCGCTGAACTTTCGATGGATGATGCTCACCATGCGCTCCATCTCCTTAGGGGCCACGGGCCGAGTCCGGCTCTGCTCCCTCAGCAGGTTCATGACGTGGGTTGTGAACTCGTTACAAGCCTGTGGTAGGTGCCGGTGGCTGGTGAGAAGGTGCCCTCTGGCCTGGGGTTTCCCCTCAAGCACCTGTCCCTCCGCCCGCTCTGGCCTCTTCTCCTGACCTGCTCGTACTTCTCCAGCTCCGAGTGGTAGATGTGGCGGATCTGGGCAAGTTTGCTGCGATAGTCCGAGTGCTCGATGGAGTTGTCAGGGGACACGCCGCCCCCAGAGGCTGCAGCGGCTGCAGCTGCTGCTGCTGAGCCCCCCCCTTTCTCTGGCCCAGCCACACCCTCTGCCAGAAGCATGTTGTCCAAGCGCATTAGCTGTGGGTCCACCGGCTCTTCCTCTTGGGAGCTCCGAATGCTGAGGCCTAGTGTGCAGGCGAGTGTTCTTAGAAAACCAGAGACCCCACACCCAGCCCTCAGCCCTCTGGGAGATCCAAGTTTCAGGGCTGAGGCTCCCTCCCCAGAGCCCCACTTTCCTCAGGACTCCAAGCTGTCAAACTCTTAACTGAAGGTTCTATGATGACTAGGGTCCGTCCCCAGAGTTGAGGGATCAAGAGGGAACCCACATACCGGTTTTTTCCTTGATTTCACACAGGACGCTAAAGAGAGCAGGTTTCATTCGGTGGCAGTTTAGGGCATGTTTCCTTAGAAGGAACAGGAGAGAAAAGTCGAGGAGCTACAGAAACAGAGCAGGGGGTCCCTGGGGTGAGAGGGGCTCCCTGGGACAAAAAGGGAAGTGGGCAACTCTGCAGGGGAGAAGTGGAGTGGAAGAGGAAATGGACTTGGGGGCTTCTAGGGAAGAGATCAGCTCCAGAGTGCAGAGGTGGGGAAGCTGCTTGTCTTCAGGAAGATGGAGAGAAGGTGCAGGCAGCAGACTAAAGGCATCTGAACTGGGGGCTGAGGGAGATGGCCTGGAAGAGTACAGAAGGGGAGTTTGGGGGTGGCTGCGCAAATGAGTGACTAGGTAGATTTCAGGGAAGAGAGATGGAGGCTGGGGAGAAGAGTCAGAAGATGAGGTGCCAGAGTGGGATTAGGGGTGCTGAGCTCAAGTGGGGCATTCAGCAGTACTGTTGGGGGGGGGCATGGTGCCAGGCACTGAGGCTCCCCACAGAACTGAGCAGGGGTGAGGGGTGGGTGAATGCCTCCGAAGGCTGGGCCATGCTTCCATGGAGAGGAGTGGTAGGAGCTCTGGGGAGAGGCTGGGGAGGTCCCTAGGTCTGGAGAGGATGAGGGTGGGCTGGGTGGAGAAGACAGCACAGCAGTTTCTTAGTCTGGGAGCCAGAGGTGGGTCAGGAGACCGAGGCATGTTCCAAGTGGAGTGTGGGGGTCAGTGAAAGGTTAGGAGGGGGGGCTGGCGAGACCACCTGGGGTTCCTCTCTCTGAAGGTTTCAGGGGCCTGGGGATGAAGGGAGGTTTCAGAGGGATCACTTATCTCACGGCTCCCAGGAGTAAGAAGAGAGCTGTAGGATCCTGGAGTTGGGGGGTGGGGGAGGCTCCCAGAAGATTCAGAGCTTGTGAATGGGGTTTCTGCGGGTCTGTGTGGGGTCCCGGGGTGGGGGCACTCACTTGGCCTGGGCCTCGTCCAGGCTCTGGTCGGTGATGGTCATTATCTGCTGCAGAATGTCCCCGATGTCTTGCTTCCCTCGGCCTCCCGGGACCCCCCCGCTACCCCCTCCGGGGTCTCCGCCACCGGGAGGCTCGCCAGGGCCCCCAGGTTCCCCACCCACCAATCCCAGGCCCCCCCGGCCCCCGCCTGGAGGGGGCGGCCCCAGCAGCCGCTCGTCCATAGTTGGGGGGGGGCCCTGAGGCCCCCTCCCTGCTCCGCCCCTCCCCCCGCCTGGTTACTTCCCCCCCAAACTCGCTGGAGCCGCTGCTCCCTCCGCCCCAACCCCCGCCCGTCTTCTCCGCTCCCGGCTCCCCCGGGGGTTCACCCCGGCCCAGAAGGGAGACCTGGGGTACCGCCCGGGCCCCCCACTGGAGACCCCGGCCCCCGGCGGCGGAGAAAATGGAGCCGGAGAGAGAGAGGAGGCCCAAGCGGGGGTGTGTGTGCGAGAGGGAGGAGGGAGGAGGGAGAGGGGGAGCGAGGGAGGAGGCTGGGGGAGGGGAGCCGGGAGGAAGAGGAGGGGAGAAGAGAGGAGGAACAGGGAGGAGCTGGGGGCGGAGAGACGCGCGGAGACAGAGGAACTGAGAGCGCGCGGAGGAGGGGGGGGAAGACGGGCGCGGGGAGGCGCCCGGCCCAGCGGGGAAAACTCGGGAAGGCCCCGGGGCCGTACTCGCCCGCCCGTGGAGGGGCGAGCTGGGGGCCGGGCGCTGCCGCCGGGGTTCCGAGGCCGGGGTCTGGGCGGTGTGGACGCCGGCCGCTGGAATGCCTGGGTTCACAGCTCAGTTCATATTTCTTGTCCTAATGACTCCCCTCCCTGTTCTACTTAATTAAAACCAGGAGAGGGGGTGGGGGGGTAATTAGGGAGGTCTCCAGCCGCTGCTTAATGAGGCAGTAATTAACCAGCCAGGGAGGGGAGCTGGCCTCTGGCCAGACTGGAGAAAGAGGCGGCCTCTGGCCTCACCTTTCCACCCTCCACCCGGCAGCCCCAGACACCAGTCTTCAGTCCAGAGGGGAATTACATTTATTCATACATCAGACAGACTCGGGGCAGCAGTAGGGAGGGCGGGTGGGCAGGGCTAAGTGTCCATTCACAGCCTGTAGGCCCTTTAGTCTTGGGGCTGGGGGTGCTGGGGGCGGGATAATAGTCTCTCTGTTGTACCCACCCTCTTTCTTCTTACTGGGAAGGAGGGTAGAGTTGTCTCTCAAGTCATAACCTTGGGAGATTTGCCTTTTCTTGGGAGATGGAGGCCTGAGCCCTCTGATCCTGCCTAGTGGCTTGATTACTGGGGGTGTCCCCACAGTTTAGGACCAATACTCCCAACCATTCCCTTTCGATCACAGGAGGGGGTTGGGCTGTCCCTTAGTGGGTGGGATCCTCAAGCAGCCTCAAGCTCCCAGGTACTAGGGAGGGCGTTAAATGGCCATCCTACCTTGACTATCCCCAGAATTTGAGGACTTTCACCCCCTCCAGTTCCCAGGGAAGGTGGACGGGGGTGATGGATATTGTAGTTTCTGCTGAGTCTTTCAGTCTCTGGTGGCCCTGGCAAGCAGGGCAGGTGACATGCAGTGGACTGCCCAGCTTTGAGCCCCTGGCATGTGGAGAGACTGGTGGGATCTCAAGTCTCAGCAGGTGTGTGGCGGGGGCCGGGACCTTTGCTCCTCCATTCGACCCCCACCCTGAACTCTCAGCAGCAATTCCAGGAGCTCCTGCCCTCCTGGGGGAAGTGGAGGTTCTGACCGCTGGGCTTCCATCCGCTGGCACTGGAGGAGTGGAGGGAGGGGAGGTTTTGGTGAGGTTCTAAGAGGAGGAGGCTTTGAAAAGAGCCAGAGATGGTATGAGGGACATGTAGGACTCCTGTTGTGGGGTGGGGAAACTGGGGCCTGATGAGGAGCACATGCCTGGGGAGAAGGAAGGGTAGTGCCCCAAAGACACAAGAGCTATAGACCTGGAAGTCTGAGTCTTGCCTCCTGGCAGTGTGGGGGGTGTGTCTCACCTGGTGACTGAGGATGGTGCTGTAGAGCTGTTCTCTATCCTCATGAGGCCGGGGCAGAGCTCGGGCAAGGTTTGGAGGGTTCTGAGGGGCATGGAAGGTGGCCCTCTGTTCCTCTAATCGGCGGGACTGGGCCTCAGCCACCAGGTCCAGAAGGCGCTCAGTCTGAAGGGAGAGTAGGGAGGCCGAGCGGGGCCCCAGGGCTGGGGAGTAGAGGGGGAGGGCTCAGAGGCCCAGAGAACTTGTCAGGCAGAAGCAGTGGCAGTGGTGGGGGGGAAAGGGTGAAGTAATTAGACACTGTGGGTCAGAGCTAAGGGGGTGTGATGGGAGTCTGGAGGAGGTGGGTAGAGGGCCTATGATGCAGTGGGACTTGGTAATGAGATCAGGAAGGATGTGGGAGATCCCTGGACTGGTGGGGTTACCTGTTTGGTGGGTCCCTGAAGAAGGAGGAGATGGAGGAGCAGATCGCCAAGGCCGGGTGGTGGTGTTCACAGGGGGCCAGCCATGCTCATCCTGATGGGGTCCCTGATGCAAAAAATATCCCTTCCAGTCAAGTGGGGGTAGGGTGGGCAGGGGGCTAGGCCTGCGGCCCATTTCCTCTTTCTGTGTCTCTGTTCCTGCCTCACTGTGCCCAAACCCTTCCAAGTCCCAAGGCCACTGTCACAGGTCCTGCCCCAGGTCCTCTCACCTCCCTCTCGGCCCAGCGTCAGCCTCCCCCATCGGGTGCCCAGCTCAGCTCACCTGCTCACCATCCTCTTCTTCCTGGGATTTTTCTGCCTCCATCCTTGGAGGGGGGAACCGATGGGGGAGGGGTAGCTGGGATTTGGGAGGAGGACCGGAATCCCTGAGTTCCTGAGGGGAGTGGGGGCTGGAAGGGGTGGGGGTGAGCCAGGGGCTGGATGCCTGGGTACTGAGCAGGAAGCTGGGTTCCTGGTCAGCCCCCCCCCCACGGGGCCCCGCCCATCCCTGTCAACTTCCTCCAGTTCTCTTTTCCCACCCAAGCTGCTAGCTCAGTCGCCCCAGGGGAGCACAGAAACTGGGAAAAACTCCTCCAGCTGTAGTAGTGATGGAAGTTCCTGGTGGGGAAGGACTCTTGGTCTTCTCATCTCCAGAGACTTAGTAGCCCCCTAACCCTGTCTGTTCTCTCCATACCCCTCCTCCTCTTCAGCTCTGTCAACACAGGAACTAGCTACACAGGAAGTGGTTTCACTCCTCAGAAACCCCCTCCCTCTCCCCTAGATCCCTTTCCTCCTTAAGATGACCCTGTGCAAGATTTGGTCTTCCCCTGCTTCCCAGTCTTCTTCAGACTTACTGGCACTGCAGCACCTGGTTCCAGTGGGAAACGTTAGACTCAGACCTGGGGGTGGCAGCCCTCAGACAGACAGACACACACACACACCCCTAAAATTTCTCTAGTCTGGGGTCTAACTCAGTAAATAATCCATGTGTGTTACACAGTTATCCCTGCCCTCTAGATGCTTACAGTCTATTCAGGAGACAAGATACATAGTAAATGTGAGTGGCAAGAAGCAGGGGAAACTCATCTAGTCATGAATGAGAGACATAGAGATGGAAAAGGGAGAGGACCACCTTCCTGGGTTGTTTTTTGATCAGTGCTGGTCAGGCGGGTTGGCATCAGGATCAGAACAGGACAGAGACATTGGGACCTCTAAATGGCAACCTGCCATATCGGAGTGGGGTTTACAGCTGAGTAACCTGGAGCATGACATGATGAAGAGATCTGGACTTGTCACATAATGCTTTGCAGTCTTGGGCAAATAAAGTCTCTGTGCCTCAGTTTCTTAAAGTAAACTAGAACTTGAATACCACCTGCTTTATAGAGTTGACATGATTGTAAATGTGATTAAGCACTTGTCACATAATGAATGCTCAATAAGTAGTTAGTAGTTTTTAAAATACTTCATGCCACCAAGTCTCAGACCCATCACCATGAAAGAGGTGTAACCACTTTGCTGAAAAGTGGACAAAATTTGAGATGCTCTAGCCATCTCCCTCTACTTAACTTGAGGCCTTAGAAATCTAAGTGGCCATAACAAAATGCCTTTGGTAGAGGAAAAAAGGATATGCATGGTTCTAAGGGGTGTGTACGTGTGTGTGTGTGTGTGTGTTGCTCCTGGGCTAATAGAGACTCTTCTTTCAGATAATACCCTAAATTAACATGGGACCCCCAAATCTATTTACTCTTGCTCTTAAACTATACTCAAAGCCATTATCCAAATGTTGAACTTAGAGCACAAAATTCTGAAAGCACTCCCAACATTTTCTCCCATTCCACTTAACAATTCTCTTTTAAAAAGTAACATTTCAAATCAGCTTTATTATAGGGTAAAAAAGACTTGGGGTTCTTAAATAGATAACGGGGACTATAAGAACTGTGGCGCTTCATCCCTGCAGTGGTTTGTTTGGGGGTGGGGCGTGGGGAGAATGCAAGGAGTCATCAGCCGGAGTGGACTTTGGCCCTCCCTTCAGCACCTACACAGTACCTGGCACATAGTAGGTGCTCAATAAATATGTTATCCATTTTTAGGTAGTAGGGGTGATGGGCGATAGAGGCTCTTTTGGGAACTATGTAAAGAATTTTGTATATCTTATCTCTTCCCCCACTCCACTCGATCCTTTTGTGGCTCCTCATCCTTATTTTCCGGGAGAAGGGCTGGACCCGCTTCATGCCACCACTCTGAACCCTCTTCTCAGGGCTGCAGCTTCTCCCCGGGGTAGACGACAACGGTTCTGGTGGGCATTCATTCCTTTTGGGCGGGACACTACACTCATCATCCTTCACTTTTGGAACGCGAGGATCTTAAACTCCGATTTCCCACACTGCCTGTCACTTAACGGGCATTCACTTTAGAGCCCCTCCCTGCTGTGGCGCCTTCTACTTTTGGTCATCGCTTCCCGCACTGAAGGGTATTACTTGGTGGGCTGGTGAACCCCAGGCAACTTGAGGAGATCCCTGCTCCGGGGACGGAGTCAGGCAAGGAAGCGGGATCGGAATGCTGGAGGCGGGACCGCAGGCACCCAGGGCCGCCCAATCACCGGGCCAGTCATCAGCTGAGGCCGCACCCCCACTCCCCGGCGCGACCCCGGATTTTCCTCGCACTTTGCCAGGGCCGGGCCGCGGCCCGCGCATGCCCGCTGAGAATCTAGGGCCGCGGGGGGGCGGGCCGCCTCCTCCTGTCCTTCCCTTCGATAGGCTCAGGCACTGAGAATAGGCCCCGCCCCCGCGCGCGGCCAAGTCTACAGACAAAGTCGGCGCTCGCAGACAAGCTCCGCCCCCACGCGGGCCGGCTCCGCTTGACAGTGTCCGGCCGCGCGGCAAAGCCCCGCCCCCTGATGGGGGCACGCTTCCCGACGCAGAACGAGCGCGCGGGCACAGGCTGGCGCCCCGGCCCGGCGTGGCTTTGTGACGTGCCTCCGACGGCCCCGCCCCTTCCAGCAGCGTCAGCAGATCCCAGTGGTTGCGCTGGCGGGCGATGTCCCCGGGCGCCAAACCGGTCTGGTCCCGGAGCCCTCGGGCCGCCCCTCGCCCCAGCAGCAGCTGGGCTACCTCCACCGCCCCTTCTCGGGCTGCCAGGAATAGCGGCGTCTGCTCCTGTGCGGGAGGACACATCCGGGGGAGAGGTCAGGGAAGGTCACGTACAAAGAGTTGGCATTTCATGACTCCGCCCACTTGCCCGCGGCCCCGCCCCTTTCGGGTTTTGTGGGGTTCCCGCGCTTTCCACTTGGGCCTCCCGCGCTGTTAGCCCGTGTGTGTGTTGGGGGGGGGACGCCGGGCGGGGGTGGGGAGCCCGCTGCCCAGTCTGACCCTGTTGTCCTGGGCGTCTTTATCCGCTCCGGCTTGGAGGAGGGAGTGGGCGGCCCGGGCATTGTTCACGGCGGCGGCCCAGTGCAGCGCGGTTTTTCCTGGGGGTGACGTGTGAGGTGGTTACCCCGAGGCTGGGGCCAGACGTCTAGGTTCCTGTTTCCCACGGAGTCTGGTCTTGGGGGGAGAGCTACTCAGGCCCGCCGGGGCCCACAAAGGCGGAAGCGTGGCCCCGGGCGGCTGCCGCCTGGCAGGAAGCGGTGCCCCGGTGACGTCACCGGCGCGCGGAATGGACAATGGGGCATTGTTCTGGGGTCGGTGGGACCGGGAGACCACCTCTGCCCACAAGACCCCTCCTTCCGCCTTCTCACAGACGCTCCGCCTATGCCGGCGGACTAGGGCAGGGTGTGTGTGCACGGGCTCCGGACTGTGCATTTACCACCCTGACAAGGGTGGGCGGGAATGCCCCAGCCTCTGGTTGGTACCACTGCTGCTCTTTTTTTTTTTTTTTTTTTTGGCATTTTATCTCATACCCCTTCTGCTCCACTTCTCTACCGCACATCATCACCCTTCCCAGACCCATACCCCATTTATCTCGGGCTCCCACATCGGCTTGGGCTGCAATCAGTTCTTCAACCAGGTCCTCCACTGCCAGCCTGGCAGCTAACATCAGGGCTGTGGTCCCGTCTTCTGTCCGTGCATCCACTGCAGTTTGTCTGCTTCGAAGTAGGAGCTGGGGGGCCAGAGATGCCAGTGACACCTGGTATATCCTGGACTGCTGGCTCAGGTCCCTCACGTTTAACCTCCTCCCTGTCTATATTAAGTTATCACTTCCTGTTTCCGTTTCAGGCCCCCAATCTCACATTACCTTCCTCTTTGTCAAGCCCCAGGGGATGCTTTTGCCCAGCTTTTCTTGTGAGTCTGCCCCCACTTCCCTTTAGCCACATCAGTGTGCTCTGACCTGGCAGACCTCCCGAGCATCAGCAGCCACAGCAGTGTGAAGAGGGGTGCGTCCTGCTCTGTCAGGCTGGTTGGGGTTGGCTCCAGCTTCAAGGAGGCGCCGGGCAGCCGTTGGCCGAGAGAACCGTGCTGCCAGGTGAAGGGGGGTCTCCCCAGTGCCCATGGTGTGAGCCTGGGGACAGGCCCCTCCACCCAGTAGAGGTTCCCAGGGCTCAAGGCCGCCTAACCATGCTCCCTGGAAGGTCCTGGACTCTACTCCCCCACAGCAGACTGCTGACATCAAGGGTGTCACCCCATCTGTGTGTGTGGGGAGTGGAGATAGGAATGGGAGACAAGTCAAAGGACATAACTGCTGAGGGGGAGAACAGGGAGGCTTAGGGAAAATCACAGCCTGAAGTGTCTGGAAGCCCAGTTCTAGCTCTTGATTTTGTGTGACTTTCGTCACTTCTCTTTTTCTCTGGGCTTCAGTTTCTTCATCTGTAAAAGGAGCCAGCTGGCCTAACTTTCCAAGGTTCTGGGACAGTGATTCTCAAACTTGAGTCTGGATCATATTCACCCAGAGGTTTGTTAAAACTCAGATTCCCTAGGGCCTCCCCAGTGGCACAAGGAATTAAGTCTCAGCACTGTGAAGCTATCGTCAGCCACTGCAGCATGAGTTCAATTCTCCCGCTAGGGAGCTAACCCACATGGTGCAGCAGACCTCTCTCCTGTCTTGCACACTGCTGTATTTCAGTCAATCCGCATGTTCTGCTCCCCACTCTGGTGAATCCTTTCACCCCCCCAACCCCCCAACATGTCTGGTCTACACCCCAGCTCTTGTATGCATAAATAAATAAATCTTTTTTTTTTTAAAAAAACCCTCAAATTCCCTAACATCTTAAATTTCTGAATCCTGTAGCTCTGGAGCGGAGCCTGAGAGTTTGCATTACTGTTTCCCTGGCGATGCTGATTCTTTTGTCTAGGGACCACACTTTGAGAATCACTGTCTCAGGCACTGACTTTAACATTGGTTCCTCCTGTTCTGTTCTCAGAAGACATTCTGATTCTAAAAGGGTGTGTTCATTTTCTTGGTCTGGGTTGACTCACATACCAGGTCCATGGGAGTCCATGTCAGGTACCTCCATCTCAGTCTCCTGGGGAGGAGTCAGCATGATCGCTGGGGGTAGCTCCTTGCAGTCACCCCTCAGAGACCAGAGCTGGCACTTGGAGGGTGAGGCCATTTCATCAACCTTGGAGATCAGAGCAAGGGTCAGCGAAGGCAACTGGCTTGTCCCTTCGACCCCTCCATCACCTTGACTCAGTGCTTTCGTTTGACCTACCTCCTCTCCTTCCTCAGGACCTGAGCATATCACAACTCCATCCTCATCAACTTCTGCCTCTGATGATTTCAGTGTCCTTGGAAGGGGGTGGAAGGGTTGAGGTTACACAGGGTTATGATCTTCAGGGTTCCCCAAGATTTCCAGCAGCCTTTCTCCACCCCCTCCTTCTGTCTGAAACTTCTGCAATAGTGTCTCTTATTGCTTCTGATCATACTTATTGTAATAAGAGAGACCTTGCTTCTTCAGCCCCGTTTCTTCCCCACTCACTTGAGGCCGATGCTGTCCTCACCCAGGGGGGGCCGGCGTCGGTGCGGGACTGACTGTGTCCGAGGCCTTCTAGTAAACCCAGGGGGCAGCCAGAGGGCCCCATGCTCTCTGCGGGGCCGCCGCCGAATGAGCTGGAGGACGAGAAGAGCCCCAAGGGCCAGGAGAAGCACCCCGGCTATGGGTGAGCACAACACAGGCCAGGGAAGCTGGTTGTTGGGGGGCTCTGGTGAGAGAGAGACAGTCACAGAAAGAAGCCATTCCTGGTGAGGCTGGACACTACTGTGACACTGTTGAGCAAATGCAGTAAACTCTCTCTGCCTCAGCTGCCTCATCTGTAAAATGGCAATTATGATAGTACCTACTTCGTGGGGTGGTTGGGGGATTGAATGAGTTAATACTATAAAGTGATTACAGCAAGATCTGGTCAGAGTAAGGAACATGAAAAATTACTCTTGCAGGTGCTATGAACTTTTTGATAAAGAGGTAACTGGGGTCTCCCTGGTGGTGCAAGGGGTTAAGCACATCACTGCGAAGCTATCCACAGCCTCTGCAGCATGAGTTCGATCCCCAGCAGGGAGTTAGCTACCCACATGGCGCAGCAGACCTCTCCTGTCTGGCGCGCTGCTCCCCTCAGCAGTGTATTTCTGTCAGTCTGCCTGTTCTGTTCCCCACTCTGTCTCTGGGGAATCCTCTCACACCCTGCACCTCTCACATCCCCAGCTCTTGTATGCATAAATAAATAAATCTCTTTTTTTAAGATTATTTATTTATTTATTTATTTATTTATACAAGCACTGGGTACAGTCAGAAGCGCGGGAGGGTTAGAGAATTCACCAGAGCCAGAGGGGAGAGCAGGCAGGCAGACGAAATACACTGCTGAGGGGAGCAGCGGGCAGCAGGAGAGGTCTGCGCACCATGTGGGACCCTCGCCCAGCGAACGGGCGCTGCAGAGGCTGTGGGCAGCCCCAGGCTCAACCGCTGTGCCACCGGGGAGGCCCTTTTATAAAAAAAAAAAAAAAGGTAAATGCATACTCTCAGTGTAGCAGGGGGTAGAGCAGAACCCAAGGTCTGTGAGAGGTCTACGAGAGGTTAGGGTAAAGAGGAATAAGAGATTGCAGAGCAAATGGGCCATGAGGATCCAGTTAGAGACGGGTCAGGAAGGGTAAATCCCCACAAAGAACATTTGGGTCACAGTGATCCTGTTTCATTTGACCTCCATTGTTGGTCTCTGGCTTGAAAGCTGGCCTGGGAGCAAAGTCGGGAAATGATGGGGTCACCTACCAGTGCCTGCACGAGGGTGGGCAGCCAGTAGGGGTCCTGGCAGTAGGGGCTCGAGGGCTCCCACTGCAGCCATCGCAGCAAGGAAACGGAGCAGGAGTCCAGGGTCCCAGGGACAGCGGGATGCAGGGTGGTCAGGGCCACAGTGGGACAAATCCACACCCATCACCACCACAAACCTGTAGGGCAGGGGCCTCAGAATCCCTGTGTTGGTCCCAGGCTCCCTCTCCCTCCTGGTTAAAAAGGGGTGTGTGCCCCATCCGTTCCCCCAGCCTTCTTACCCAGTGCTGAGGGAGTCTGTCTCCTTGCCCTGAGGGGCTGCTCTCTCCTGATGGGAGGGGTCTGGGGTTCCTCCTAGCTCCTTTTCGGCCTGGGTCCCAGGGTAGGGGTAGACCATGTCCCTGCCGTCACTGTCCTTCCTCACCCAGAGCCCCACCCTTAGAGTCAGGGATAGTACCCGGGCCAGGGCGAGCAGCTGCTGGTCCAGGACTGGGGAGCTCAGCACCACCAGCAGGGCCAGGGAGGGCCCCCACTCCGCATCCCCGTCTCTGGGGCTGCAGTCACCCCCATCCCAGCCACATTCTGCAGTGTTGCAGCCTTTCTCGCAGTGGCCATTGTGGAAGTGATCACGGCAGTACTGGTCATAGGCAGGACTGTGGAGTGAGGAGAGGGTGACTCAGGACCTCCAAAAAAGCCTGACGCCCTTTTTCACTTAGAGAGGATTCCTGATATTCCATGGTCTCTGGGGCACAGCTTGCTAAGCTGGGCAGCTCCAGAGCAGTGAGCAGTGATCCCGAACCCCTAATGTCTACTGACACCCTTGTTCCTAAGACTGCCCTCTCCCTACTTTCCCAAGCGCTCCTATCTCCCTGAAGGGGAGACCAAGGCCCTTTTCCTTCAGGGATGCTGGGTTCTGGAGGAGAGACATTATGGCAACAAGACTTAGAGGCTTGAGGCCAGAGATCCCACAACTCTCAAGCGCCTAGACAGAGTCTGTACCCTGGAAATGTTGCCCTATCCCCCTGGGGTTGGAGTCTAGCATCTTCTGTCCCTACTTAGCAATGGAAAGTTATGCATCTACGTCCTTCCTCTTGCCCTCATTAGCCTCCCCTTACCCTTAGTGTTTCTCTCCATCATGCCCTCCCCAACCCCTGACCGGCCACTTAGGATTACGGCTCACGTGCAGGCTGCAGGAGTCTCACAGTCGTAGCCATCAAACAGGCACTCTTCAGAGTCACACTGTGGGTGGCACTGGCCGTCCCGGAAGAGAAGCCAGCACCGAGCTTGGGAAGGGCAGCCTTTCCAGGGGTCTGGGATCCCCAAGGAACAGTCCCCTCCATCCCAGTTTCCTCCTGGGCCACTGCAGCCAGCATCGCAGGTCCCATCTCCACCTCTGCCCTCACACCCCTTGGCTCCAGGCCTCTGGCACCTGGGCCCTGGAGAGCTTGGAGGGCAGGAACATCGAAAGCCCAGGCCCCCCAGCCCCTGGATCTCTGAACAGCTGCCATTGTGTAGGCATGGAGAGGGAGGGCCGCAGCCTTGGGGAGCTGGCGGGGTCAGGCAGTCAGGGCCTCCGTAGCCATCGAGGCAGGCACAGCGGGGTGGGAAGCCAGGCTTTGGGGAGGGCAGACACAAGCCACCATGGTGGCAGTGATGGAGGCCGCAGGAGGGGGCTCTGTGACTGCAGGTGGGGCCTTCAAAACCCTGTGGAGAGGAGACATTTTGGGAAGGGCTTTATATTTTTCATCCCACTTCCCTTCAAGCAAACTGAATTAAGACAATTCAGAGGGGCCTAGATTCTTACATCTGGAAAGGACTATGAGCATATCAAATCCATCTTATAGATGTTGAAATCATGTCCCGTTTTAATTTCACACGATGGCATATTACATAGGAGTGAAAATGGATGAGTCACGGGTATGTGCAACGATTGGATGAAGTGTAGCCTCATGATGCAAGTCTGGAAAGGGGGTAATTAATGGGGTAATATAAACTGAACTAATAGTATATTATTATCTTAATCCTGGGAAGTAGGATTATATGCTTTCTCTTCCTTTGGAAAGGAAACAACATAGAGGAGGACATAAGTATGTGTAAACTGTTAACATTGTAATTCTTGGGTTAAGTTCATGAGTGTTGTAAGAACAACAAAAGACTGTCATGCAGGAAGCAGTGATGTTAGTGTATCATGAACTAAGGTTTAGGATTAACCCAGTTACATGCATCTGATACCTATAAACACACACGCGCGCACACACACCCACATACACACGGGAATTTATCCAAGGTTACCTCACTTGGCCCTGGGGCTTTCCCTTAGACAGTGTCCTTGGTTTCTGAAAATTCCATTCATGCGGCCATCTGAGCCTACCTTGCCCCTGACTGCTTCTGAGAGCCACTTCCCACTGAGAACAGGGGATGGCTTTCTCCAGTAGCTCCCTCTCCAGATCTCCCCCGGGCTCCCCTCTAGGACCCCAGCTAGGCATTCTTATCTTGCATCTGTGTTTGGGGCAGCAGAGAAGGCAGCTTTGCCATCACTTACCTGGGGGCAGAGGCAGGTGAAACTTGGGGGTGGTCCGGCTCTGGCCTCACAAGACCCTCCATGGGCACAGGGCTGGCTCTGGCAGGGGTCTATCTCCACTTCACACCACTGGCCTGTGGTGGGGGTGGGATCAGATCACATACTTCAGCCCCTAGCTCCTTCCTAGCTCATTCCTGGGAGCCCCAGCACTATCTGTATAGGCAAAGGGATTCTGGGGTTGTTTTTCTGGGCCAGGATACAGGGGCAGAAGGATGGACCAATGACTATGCTTCTATAAGTGGTCATCGCCTGGCTTTACAGTCTGCTCAGCTGTGCCACACAGATTCCTACACACCATCCAGCCCTCACCTGTGTATCCAGGTAGACACTGGCAGTAGAAGGCATTGGCCAGAGAGTGGCAGGCTGCAGTGCCTGTTGGGTGGCAGGGCCGGTCCAGACACTCATCCACGTCCCCCTCACAGCGCAGCCCCACAAAGCCTGGAGGGCAGGTGCAGTGGAAGCCTCCAGGCTTAGAAGTGCAGGTCCCATGGTTATGACAGGGCTGGGATTGACACGCATCGGGTTCCTTTGAGCAGTTCTGTCCGCTGTAGCCTGGGGCACACTGAAGCAAAGAGGGCCAAAGGGAACCAGTAAACAAGCCCAGCCCAGCACTCCACAGCGCCCAGCTCCAGGTAGCCTGCCCAGCCCCATACCTCCCAGCTCAAGACATTACTCAACGTGTTGCTTAACCCCTCCAGCTCGGCTCCACATCACAGTGCAATTGCTCACAAATATGCAATCTCGCTCCTCCCCACTCTCAAGCAGTCACTATGCCAAATTATGTTTAAACTTCTGATTTTTGTAAAAGTTCCCAAGCACATAAGCACCCGACTCTGTCTTACTTTATTAATTTGTTCATTAAAGAGTGCCAGGCAACCATTTTGGGCACTGGGAATACAAAGACACTTAGAACTCGTCCCTGCTTCCATGAAGTTCCTAGACATCAGAGAGGGAGTCAGCGTTTATTGCCTAATTTATATACCTAATCTTATAAAAGATTATAAAACAGCCCTCTAGATGATCCCCTTATTTGATTCTTACTTTACAGGAGAGGAAATGGATTCCTTGCAAGATGAAGTGACTTGCACAAGTCACACAGCTAATGGGTGGCAGAGCCACCCAGTGCAAGTCCGTGACTCCGTGACCCATGCCCTGGACCATTTTCTTTCTTTCTTTCTTTCTTTTTAATTTATTTATTTATGCATACAAGAGCTGGGGTACAGGCCAGAGGTGCGGGGGGAGAGAGGACCCACCAGAGACAGAGTAGGGAGTAGAACAGGCAGATTCACTAAAATACACTGCTGTGGGGAGCAGCAGGCGAGATAGGAGAGGCCTGATGTGCCATGTGGGTCACCTCCCTGGCTGGCTGGGGAATCGAACTCATGCTACAATGGCTGCCCACAGCCTGATAGGGCTGTCTTTAACCCCTGTGCCACCAGGGGGGCTCTTGGACCATTTTCTAGTTGTTTCCTGTTCTGCTAGTGAGAGGAGGATTGTTGACAAGGTCTTACAAGGAGAGCATGCCAGACTGGAGGACCAGGGAGTTTTCAGAGAAAAAAAGGATTCATGAAGAATCCGAGGACAGAGGACAGAAGGAGCAGAAAAGGAAAGTGGTTTTTTTTTTTTTTTTTTTTTTTTTTTAAGATTTATTTATTTATAAAAGAACCAGGGTACAGGCCAGATGCACGGGAGGGTGAGAGGATTCACCAGAGACAGAGCGGGAAGCAGAACAGGCAGACTGGCAGAAGACACTGCTGAGGGGAACAGTGGGCGAGGCAGGAGAGGTCTGCTGTGCCATGTGGGCTTCTCCCCAGCTGGTGGGGAATCAAACTGGTGCCACAGAGGCTGTGGACAGCCTCGTAGCGTGGCGCTCAACCCGCTGTGCCCCCGGGAGTCCCAGGAAAGTGTTTTGGAAACCTCTGGAGAAGGGATTTTCATGAAAAAGGGAGTAAAGTTGAGTAATTGGGGTTTGTGGATTCAATATTAATCACTACACTGCTTTTGTTTATGTTTGAAAATGTTTACGTTAAAAAATATAAAGTTAAGGAAAGGGGTGGTTAGGGGATCTGTCTGGTGCTTTCTCTTTAAAGTTAAGGTTCTGGGCCTCCCTGGTGGCACAAGGGGTTAGACTCACCACTATGATGCAATCCACAGCCACTGCAGCGGGAGTTTGATGCCAGGCCAGGGAGCTGACCCACATGGTGCAGCAGACCTCTCCTGTCTCGCCCGCTGCTCCCCTCAGCAATGTATTTCAGTCAGTCTGCTGCTCTGTTCCCTGCTCTGTCTCTGGTGAATCCTCTCACACCGCCCCCCATCACCCCCCCCCCCGCCCCGGCCCTGCATCTCTGGCCTACACCTCAGTACTTATATGCATAAATAAATCAATCTTAAAAAAAAGAAAGTGGGCTTCCCTGGTGGCACAAGGGGTTAAGACGCAACCTATGAAACTGTCTGCAGCTACTGCAACACGAATTGGATCCACAGCCCGGAGCTACCCACAAAGTACAGCAGACCTCTCCTGACTCACCTGCTGCTCCCCTCAGCAGTGTATTTCAGTCAATTTGCCTGTTCTGTTCCCCACTCTGTCTCTGGTGAATCCTCTCGCCCCCCACCCTGCACCTCTGGCCTACACCCCAGTTCTTATATACATAAATAAATCAATCTTAAAAAAAAGAAAGGTGCCTCCTGGGTACTATGCACTGGAAGAGGTGAGGGAAAGGCCATTGCAGGCAAAGGCAATAGCAGGGGTGGAAACAGAGAGGCAGTGTCAGCTTGGGGTGCTAGGGAAGCCAGCGGAGGATTTGTGTCGCTGGAGCAGAGAGTAAGAGGGAGGGGCAGAGAGAAGCTGGCAGGGCTGGGTCACGCAGGGGGTTTCACTCTGAACAAGGTGGCCAGTCAAGGAGGGGTTTTAAGCAGGGGAGTGACGTGTAGGCTTAACATTTTCTACATCATATGTGCTATACAGAGAAAAACAATGAGCTAAATGAAACAGCAACTTTGAGACCTTAAGACCAACGAGTGGTTAGAAGGGAAAGCGGAAGGGGGGCAGTGGGTAAACCTGGTCAAAGGGGAAAATTGTAGGGTGAAGGATAGAATTAGACTGATAGTAGTGGACTTAATGCAGTATATTTACATGCTGATTTTTCTTTTCTTTTTAAAAAGATTTATTTATTTATGCATACAAGAACTAAGGTATAGGCCAGAAGTGTGAGGGCGGTGAGGATTCACCAGAGACAGAGTAGGGAGCAGAACAGGCAGACTTACTGAAATACCCTGCTGAGGGGAGCAGCGGGCGAGACAGGCGAGGTCTGCTGCGCCATGTGGGTGAGCTACGTGGCCTGGGATCCAACTCATGTTGCAGTGGCTGGCGATCTTGCTTTATAGCGCTGTGTCTTTAACCCCTGCGCCATCAGGGAGGCCCTACATGTTGATTTTCAATGAATGCACACCTGAATTTTATGTGATGTTACATTGCAATGCTATTTCAATAAAAATAAATGTAAAGGGCCTCTCTGGTGGCACAGGGGTTAAGTCTCAGCACTGTGAGACTTAGTTCCGGCAGCAATAGAGGCAATAGCAGCTATCCGCAGCCACTGTAGCCTGACTTCCAACCCTGGCCAGGGAGCTGACCCACCTGGGGCACCAGACCTCACCTGTCTTGCCCACTGCTCCCCTCAGCAGTGTAGTTCACTAGATCTACCTGTTCTGTTCCCCACTCTGTCTCTTGTGAATTCTCTTATCCCCCTGCACCTCTGGCCTACACCCCAGTTCTTGTATGCATAAATATATTTTAAAAAAACTTTAAAAAAAGGAAAAAACAATATATATATAAAATAAATTTTAAAAAGTATTTTGTTTTCTTCACTAGAGCACCCTGGTGGCACCTACAGGATGACAGTGTACTGGCAGGGGCAGTAGTTAGGAGGCTGCAGGTATCCAGGAGGCACAGCAGGGCCAGGACTAACACAGTGGCATGAAGGGCGGAGGGGCAAGGATACAGAGGGGATGTATTTAGTGGGAAATGGCGTGATTTGGTGCTTGCTTGGATGTATAAAGGAAAGGAAATGGATATCTTGTCCCTGCTCCATGATTACAGGTTCAACATCCATCCCACCCTGTTGCTTCCTCCTCCACTAAACCTGCTCACCTGGCAGAGGTAACCATTGGGCTGGGCCAGGCAAGTGGCCCCATGTTGGCAGGGCCTGGATTCACAGGGGCTCACCCTGTCCTGGCACATGCTGCCCCGGAACCCAGGCGCGCAGCGGCAGACATAGGAGGGGCCGCTGTCCACGCAGAGGCCTCCGTTCTGGCACAGGGAAGACACTTCTGTGCCTGCGGAGAGAGACCAACAGGGGTCAATAAAGCTGAGTGGGGTGAAAGGGTGCTCAGGGGCCCAGACTCTGGCCGAGAGGCTCATGGGGCCGCTCACATTCCCAGGCTAGGTAGAGGCCTCTTTGGGCTGGAGGAGCCAGTTACTTCTCTTGCTGAAGAAGTGAAAACATCAAGCTCCTCCTCCAGCCTGTTCTGCCAGAACAGAGAGAGGTGCTTCTTTTAAGCTTATCAGAGCATTGTAAGCAATGTGTTCTTGTAGTAAAACAAGTCTCAAGCAAGAAAGAACTAAGGGAACTTCAGATGGGGGCATGTGGCTTACTTAAAGGCCTCAGCCTGTCCCCTGAGTTTTGTAGCTTCTGATTCTCTTATTGATTCCCAAAGACCATCCCTCCTTCGGCCCCACCATCGTCTTTGCTGAGTTCATCTCACAACAACCTTATTTAAATAATGGGTCAGAAGCTACAAAACTCAGGGGACAGGTTGAGGCCTTTAAGTAAGTCACATGCCCCCATCTGAAGTTCCCTTAGTTCTTTCTTGGCTTGAGACTTGTTTTAATACAAGAACACATTGCTTGCAATGCTCTGATAAGCTTGAAAGAAGCACCCCTCTCTGTTCTGGCAGAACAGGCAGGAAGGATTAGAGTCAAAATAAGGGGGGTGCAATTGTATGGGGAATATAACCAAAATGAAAATGATACATTGTGCAAAAACGAAAAAAGATGTATGAATTATATAAGATAAAATATTAAAAAAATAAATAAATAATGGGGCTATTCTTTTACAAGGGGCTTGGTGGACATCAGAGTGAGTGGGGGGTGGGGAAAAGTGTTGAGTGTAGTAGGTTAGGATATGAGGATAATGCAGAGTTGGCCCCCACGCAGTTCTGTCCCTGGTGGTTGTGTTAAACCAGAGTCCTGTTGAGCGGACTGATGGTCTTGTGTTGAATGTGGTGCTAAGGGCACATGTTAGGCCATTCGTGGTGGCGCTAAGGGAACATGTTAGGCCGCTCGTGGTGTTAAGCTGTAGCATCAATGACTGGTTGGTCTGTGTTGCTTTGACTCTTGGTTGTTTTGGCCAAATGTTGTCTGTGGATGCCCTTAGGTTGGGGGTAGAGGAGGACAGACACCCTTTTCCCTTTGTCTGCTCCCCAGTCTGTCCTCAGGGTGGTACCTTGGCTCAGGGCAGCCTTCTGGCAGGAAGACAGCGGCACGTTGCAGAGAGGCCCCGTCCATCCCTGGATGCACAGGCACCGGAAGGAGGGTCCAGCTTGGAGGCAGTGGGCATGGAGGGGACAGGGCTTCTGGGCACATGAGTCCAGCAGTGTCTGGCGTAGGGAGGGAGCACGGGCAGAACAGTGCGTTAGGTTGGCAGACCCAGACATAGCTGCCAGCTCCTCAGGCTCTTTCACCTTTGAAACTCTCCTAAATGCCTGGGAGCAGGCGCCCTTCCCTCATTTCCATTCATACCACGTCCCAGAACAGCCTCTGGGTTCAGAAATCCTCTTAGTTTTTAAACTCCTCCAGGTAGACTTCAACCCCTAGAGTTCGAAAACTTTTATGTGGAAATCTTCCCCCAAGCTGCCCTGCGTGCCCCCTGTTAGTGCCTGCGACCCTCTCCCATGGGCCCTCCAGCCCCTTCCTCCCTCAGCACCTGCTCTGCCCCTCACCTGGCAGAGGCTTCCTGTGTAGCCAGGGGGGCAGAGGCAGCGGGGACCCTGAGGGCCATCTTGACAGGTCGCCCTGTTCCTACAGGGTCTGGACAAGACAGAGACAGGGCACAGTAGGAGAAGAGTCTGGGAAACAAGGGGGAGGGAATGGCTGATGGGGGAGGCATCCCTGGGAGGTAGGAGCCAGAGGGAAGAAGAGAGAGGCTGTGGGGTGTGGGATGGGAGGTGGCTGGAAGGAGCCTGGGAGAAGAGGGAGAGGGCGAGGAAGGCTGGGAAGGCTGAGGGGCTTCGTCCTCGAAGGGTCTGTGCGCCCTGCTCACCTGTCTGCACAGCTGGGGCGGACCCTTCCCTCACACCGCGGGCCCTGGAAGCCTGTGGCGCAGAGGCAGGAGGAGGTGCCGGGCCTGTTCACACAGGTACCCCCGTTGAGGCAGGGTGCTGGAGAGAGGGGGCTGTGAGGGGAGGGTTCCCAGCCTATAACCTGGCCTTGCAGTCACAGCACACAGGTCATACTCCCCGCCCCTCCCCCTGCCACCCTATCAGAACAACAGCTCCCCGTGTCTCATTAAATTTGTTTGAATGTGGCACAGACACAGCTCCTCCAGCCTGCTGAGGCCCAGCCGCTCTGGCACTCACCGGAGGCACAGTGGTCGGTGCTGGTCTGGCAGCGCATCCCGGTGTGGCCAGGAGGGCAAGTGCAGGAGTAGCCGCCCGGGCTGGGGCTGCAGGAGCCGCCATTGAGACAGGGCCCTGAGTGACAGGCTGTCACCTCCTCACCACAGGTGGGCCCTGAGGGAAATGGGGGGTGTCTGGGACAAGAGACCCTTTTCTCCCCTCTCCCCACCCCCATCGTCCTCTTCCCCACCTCCCGCCCATCGCCTGTGTCCCTGCAGCCTGTGCCCAGTTTCCTGGGTAGTGACTGAGACCCAGAGCCACCGGGACACGTGTTTCCACCACCTTGCCCTTGCCTCACAGGGTGACCAGCCCAGGTGCGCCTGTGCGGGGAGGGCCTCACCTGTGTAGCCTGTGGGGCAAGTGCAGTTGTAGCCAGAGGCCTGGGGGTGGCAGGTCCCCCCATGGGCACAGGGCGTGGAGACGCAGCCCCCCAGCTCTGCCTCACACTCTGGGCCTGTCCAACCCATGTCGCACACACAGGAAGAGCTGCTCGCAAAGAGAAAGAGGAGGGTTTTTTAGTTTTTCTCTCTCCCCTCCCCACTGACCAGACTCCTATGACCTCTTCCTCCACTTTTTTTTGACCCTGAGACTGGCCCCGTTTCTCAGTGACTGTGGTCCCAACACTGTCTCTCTTTGTCCCCTCCCACCTCGCTCATGCTCTTTCTCTCTATATATGCATAATATATATCTAGTATATCTAATACATAGCTAACATATAAAAATATGTGTCCTTCTGTATTCCTTTCACAACTTGTCTGTTCTCTGTCTTTCCTCATTAGAATGGAAGTTCCATGCAATCAGATACTGTTCTTGTGTTTTACACTGTTCCCCCCAGTGCCTGGAACAGAATCCACACATAGTGTCACTCAATAAATAATTGTCCACTGAAGGGCGGGCTGGCCCTGGATTTAGGGTCCATCTTTCTTCTCTGGCTCCCCCGTGCCCTCTCGCCCCCATTGGCTGTGTCCTCAGAGCTCTGCCATCCCCTTCCTCTCCCCATTCCTCATTTCCCACAGCCCGTCCCTCGATGGCTGCTCTCCTGCCCTGGTGGGAAGGCCCCGTGGGGGGCTGCAAGCCAGGAGGCCTGGAGACATTACCTGAGGCAGTGCCCATGGTGGCAGGTGCAGTTGTCCTCAGCGGGGGCACAGCCCGGGCTTCCGTCGGGGCAGAAGCAGTGTGCTTTGTCCTCCCGAGTCTGGCATCTCTGCTTGGACTGGCACAGGTTGGGGGCACACAGGGGAACATCACAGAGATCACCTGGGTGTGGAAATGGGTCAGAGAGAAAACAGAGTCCCTCCATATCCTTAATGGGGCCATGACTTGCCCCCCACGAGCCTGTCCTTCAGCGGCTCCCTGTTGCCTCAGGATACCCAGAATGACAGACGGGGTCCTGTATCACACGACTTCCTGTACCTGCTGTTTTTCTCATCCTTTCTCTGTTGCACCGTAAGCTCTGGGTGTCCTGCAGTTCCTTAAATGGGGTGTGCTTTTCCTCCCCCCATGCCTGTGCACGTGTGGCTCTCTGCAGCTAAATCACACTGTCATTCTATTTTGACAAACTCCTACTCCTTCCGCAAATGCAGCTCAGCTGTCACCTCCTCCAGGAAGCCTCCTTTCTACTTAGGCCTGGCAGGTCCTTTGTGCCCTCTCTCAGAACCCTCTCCGCCAGAATCAAAAAGGGACTTAGTGGTCTCTGCAGTAGATTGAAAGGCACTTGCGGCTAGCAGCTCTCTTACTTTGTGTCCATGCCTGGCATCGTAGGCACTTAGCAAATACTTGCTAAATAAGCAAATGAATGGCCTTCCTTGGCTCCTGAGCCCTCACTGCACCTGTCACGTTGGGCCTGACGTGGGTCCTGCAGTAACACCCACCTTCCTCTCCCTGACTATGGTGGTGCAGGGTTTGCGCTGAATGTCTTTAAAGGGGTTGCATTCTCACTTTATTCCCAACTCTCCAACACCCACCAATGGCTTCTGCCCCACCCCCAAGGTGCCCACACTCCCTTCCAATGCACCCCCGGCTGACCTGTAAAGCCCAAGGGGCAGAGGCAAAAGAAGGCTCCGGGGAGATCGAGGCAGCTGGCTCCAGCAGGGCACGGGCCACTCAGGCACTCGTCCACCTCCGCCTGACAGCGAGGGCCTTGGAAGCCTGTGGACAGCGAGGCTCAGGGGCCCGCACAAAGCCGCCCCTTGCCCACTCCCCTGCGTCTGAGCTCCAGTTTACCTGGGAGACACTCGCAGAGGAAGGATCCAGGCTGGTCCTGGCACTGCCCCCCATTGGCGCAGGGCGAGCTGCTGCACTCGTCCAGGTCCACCTCGCAGCGGGAGCCAGTGAATCCTGAGGGCAGGGAGCAGGTGAGGGGTAGGGGGAGGGTTGTCGTTTTTTCTTTTAACTTTCCCTTGACTTTTTAGGGAGTTTGTCACAAATGTTTGAGTTTGACAGGTGTGATTTCATGGATTCACATGAAAAGTTAGTTTGATATTTAAAGTCTTCCGGTATACAGAACTAACATTGCTGCACATTGCAATGGGGACAGTCTTGTGTCAGGTGGCCTGGTTGGGGTTTTGCATTATAAAAGCAGCCATTTGAGGGTGATTCTCCAGTAGTGATTTGTTTCAGGACAGAGTGTAACTTTATTCTTCATATAAATAAGAGATCATCAGATAGGTGCACTATGCAGAAAACACATTTCATCAAAAGTGTAAATACAAGCCCTGGCTCTTGCTCTTGCCAGGAAGGGGGAACCTGGAGGGCTCCCCAGAGGAGATGGCTGGCGAATGAGGGGAGGTGATTCAGAGGAGGTGAGGCTCAGCCACCTGCCAGCTGTGTGGCTTTGGGCAAGTCCCTCAGCCTCTCCAGGCTCCAGTTCCCTTCTCTGTAAGAGCGGAGTAATAATGGAACCTGCTTCATGGTCCCACTGAGAGGATAAATGAGATAATGCCCGAAGAGCACAGAGCCTTGTCCTGAGTAAATGTTCAGAAGCATCAGTTATTATCGGAGCAGGTCCAGGGGAGTCAGTGAAACTGGTAAAGACAGGTCTGGGGCAGCTTCCCCTGCCACCTGCACCCCTGTAAGCAGTGCCCACACTGGCTGGGACCTGGACATGCCGAGAGTGGTCAGAGGACTTTGCAGGAGGGCAGGAGATGGGGCTGTTTGGGTGATTTGGCAGGACAGAGATGGGGGTGGGCACGTGAACAAAGGAAGATTTGAGAAATGTAACAGAAGAGAGTTTGGGGAGCAGAGAAGGAGAAGCAGGGTCTCCTTGGTCAGGCTAGAGAAAGCTTCAAGTGGCCTGTAGAGTTCAGAGGCCTTGGGCTGAGGGGCTGGAGTGGAATCTGCACCCACCGGGCAGGCAGACGCACAGGAATCCGTTTAGCAGGTCGCGGCAGTCAGCCTGGTTCAGGCACGGAGCCGAGGCGCACTCGTCTGTCTCCACCTCGCAGAGCTGCCCTTCTAGGCCTGAGGACATGGGGAGTGGTGTGGGTAAAGCCTTGGCTGCCTGCCCCTCTGTCCAGGGGCCTGGCTCCCGTAACCAGTCCTGCTCCTTACCTGCCCTGTACCCCCACCAGGCAGCACTCCCCGAGGTGCTGTTCTGTGTGGGTTGGACTGAAAAACCCCTGAGGCCCAGCTGCTTAGCCGTGTGGTTCTGCCGCCTTCGGGTGTGAAAGCTCAGGGCCGGCTCTCTGCTCTTAAGTGGGGGTGTGATGCTACAAGGAAGTGCCTTTTGGGGTCTTTCTTTGTGCACAGAATGTGAGGCTCACCCAGGGGGCTGATCAGCATGGGGGCTCTCAAAGAACAGATGAGACAAATGGGCATCTGCTTGGAGGTGATTCATTCCTCTGGTTCTATCTGGACAGGCCTCCCTCCTGGGGGACCAGGGATCCCCAAGGGGGGATCAGGCATTTGGGAAGCTGTGTGCTCCCATATTTGTCCTGTTTCTTTGGGCTCTTTCTGGTCTCTACTGTCTCTCCCAGAACTGAAGCTGGATCAGACCTCGGCTGCCTCCCTTTTCTTGCTGGGGTGCCTGTCTCAGAAACTCCTTGAAATCTACAATGGTGCTTGGATGACTAGACAGTTTTCTTTGCATTTTCCCTTTGATGCGGCTCGGTTTAAGAGGGTGGTGCAGTGTCATTGTAAAAACCTCTGAAGCCCTGAGTGTGAATCCTGCCTCAGCTGCTTACTAGCTGGGTGACCTTGGACAAGTCCCTTAACCTCTCTCTGCCTTAGTTTCTTCATTTATAAATGGGCATAGTAACAATGTTGACCTTTTATGGTTATCGTATTTTCTCTCAAATTTTATTGACTTGCCACTCACTCACATGTATACCCATATATATATGTAATTTAGGGAGGGCAACTTCACACCTCCACGTGTCCGTGTCTCACTCACACAGGTTATTGTGAAGAGCAGGTGATGCATGTAAGATGCTCAGGCAGCTCCTGACACACAGTAAACCACTATTTTTCTGGTTTCACTCAGCTCCCTAGTACTGGCTGTGTCACTGTCTTGCTGGGGAGTTTTTGCTTCTTATAATTACCTTGGAGGCAGAGGTAGCCTTCAGCATTGATTGTCACTAAATTCAAGCACACGGCCCTTTGGGATTTTAAGGGTTTACTTTTGATCTCTACCAGGCAGTTTCTGTGATTAGGAGGAGCATTCTGGGTTGACATGAGCAGAGACTACAGCATGAAAAGTTCGCTAATTGCTGTTCCTCTCCCCTTGACGGGCCTCTGTGCACGGTGTCCCAGGTTGTACACCTGCTATGATGTGCCATGACTGCTTTCCCTTCACCCCAGAACTGAGCAGTGCACAACCTCACAACCATCTGCGACAGCCCTTCTCGGGACCTTGGTGTTCCCAAAGTTTTCATCTGGGGATGGGGAGAGAAGTATTTTTTGGTAACTGACTCCAACTTCCCTGATACTATCTATCCCTTGGATGCCTAGTAGGTCCCCCGTCTCCTCTACCTAAGGCCCCAGTCAGCTGGTACCTGGTGGGCACAGGCAGTGGAAGGTGGCGAGCAGGTCCAGGCAGGTGCTCCCGGGGTGGCAGGGCTGGGATAGGCACTCATTGTGATCGGCCTCACAGCGGGAGCCCGTGTAGCCCGGGGGGCAGAGGCAGTCAAAGGAGCCGGGGGTGTTGAGACAGGAGCCCCCGTGTTCACAGGGGCTGGCACCTTGCTGGGCTGGGGAGAGACAAGAGCTGGGAGTCCACAGGGCCTGGGGGTGGAAGGGCAAGGAGGCCAGACCGCCGGGGAAAGTGTGGGGACTGTGTGTGGCAGATGAGACCAAGCTGGGTAAGGGGCCTGTGTCTGAGATGGGGCAGGATTAGCCTGGCCGGGAGGGCTGAGCATTGGTGAGCAGACCACATAGGGGAGAGATGCCAAATCTGACAAATTCAGGAAAAAGACGTGTTTATGTTTTTCATTTGAAAAACAATTAGCTTATTCCTCTGTGCAGTGCAGTGCCGGTCTGGGGGCTCAGGGGGGACCTGATGTGGGGGTGCCTTACCCATCTGACATTCGTCCAGGTCCTGGTGGCAGGTGGGCCCTGTGTAGCCAGGCTGGCACAGGCAGAGTGCAGAGCCCGTCAGGGGGTTGGTGCTGCACTGGGCTTCCCCGTGGCAGGGCTGGCTCAGACACATGTCCTCCATGTGGCACAGGAGGCCTGGAGGGCAGGGAGGGAAGAGGCTCCTAGGCCACCTGAAGTTCTGCTGCCCTCCTGGCACTTCACTTACCGTCCCCAGCCCCCTCCTCCTGTACCCTCTGTGCTCACCAGTGCGGCCAGGTGGGCAGAGGCAGGAGAAGGAGCCCACGCGGTCAATGCAGGTGGCTCCTGGGGCACAGGTGGCGGCCGCACAGTCGTCCAGGTTCTCCTCGCAGCCTGGGCCTCCCCAGCCACTCACACATACGCAATGGAAGCCGCCAGCCAAGTTCTGGCAGGTGCCCCCATTTCTGCAGCGAGGGGGACCCTGAGTCTCACATTCGTTCACATCTTCAGAGCAATCCCAGCCTGTAATGGGGTGGGGATAGGACAGGGGCTGAGCTGGGAGCCCTCCGAGGGGTGGAGGCCAGGAGCTGGCCCTGCAGGGGAGCGGTGCTGTGGAGTTGGCTTCAACAGCTCACCTGTCCAGGCCTCTGGGCAGAGGCAGGTATAGGTGCCCAGCTCATCCTGGCAGGTGCCCCCATGCTGGCACTGGTGTCCGACACAGTTGTCTGGATTCACCTCACAGTCCAGGCCTGTGAAACCTGACAGGGCGGTGGGATCAGCTGGGGGAGGGGGACCCACGGGAGACAACCTCCTGCCCAGAAAGGGGGGCTGCAGGAGGCCCCTGTGAGGACGCACCTGGAGCACAGAGGCAGCGGTGAAAGATGGACTCCTTCTTTGGAACCAGCTGGCAGGTGCCCCCGTTGAGACAGCCCCTGGAGGGGCATTGTCCTGGCTGGAGCTCACAGCCGGCACCCTCCCGCCCAGCAGGGCAGAGACACTGGAAGGATCCCAGGGTGTTATGGCAGGTGGTGCCCTGGGGGCAGAGGTCTGGGTCCCGGTAACACTCGTTGACGTCATGTTCGCAGGCATGGCCCTCGAAGCCAGGTGGGCAGCGGCACTGGATCTGGGGGTACGTGGTCAGACACACCCCTCCATTGATGCAGGGGTTGGATGAGCAGAAGTCCCGAAGCTGGCACTGCTCACCTGAGGCAGAGGACAGAGTGTTTCCTGCTCAAATCCAGCTCTTGGGACAGCCAGCGCTCACCCTGGGTCCTCCGTGGGGCCCATCTTCACATGCCCTTCTCTTTCCTCCCAGACCATCTTCGCCCTGTGCCATCACCCCTTACCTTACTTCCCCCAGTTCCTTGGGCAGGTTCTATCTAGAATGACCACATTTTCCAAACTGAAGAGGCCATGTGTCTGCCCAGGAGGGTCTGGGACACAAGGTCCCTTCTGTGGCGGCCTCCGTGGGGAGGTGGAGGGCCCCCGTCTCTGCATTCAGGAGTCTTAGCACCTGTGCCCCAACTGGCTGGTGTCATCCCGTTGCTCACCCTGAGCTGCTGATCTTCACCAGGGAGTGTGATAACTCACTCCAGCCTGGTACCCCAGTGGGGGCAGGGCAGGGCCTGTGTGCAGGCACTGAGCTAAGGGAGCACTTCCCCAGGATCACCCCTGTCCTCCTCTCATAGCCTCAGGACATCAGAGAGCGAGACAGCTCGAGCAATGGCATGTGTCTAGTCAGTGGCACGCCTGGCGCTCGCCAGGGGACTAGGCCACCCCTGGTCCCTGCTCTGAAGCACCAGTTCTTGTGAGTTGTCTGTGACCATCTTCCATTTGTCACATGCTGTGTCTTCCTGCGCCCTGGTTTCCTCGGAATTACCCGGGGAGTTAAAAAAATCTCCATGCCTGGGCCTGCCCACTAAATCAGACTCTCTGGAATGAAGCGCTGGTATTTTTAAGACTTTCCAGCTGATTGTTGTGTCTAGTCAAGTCTTCTCTCTAGTTTACCCCTAATGGGAGCACCCACATCCCAAGCACTTTCTTACCCATGTGGTCTTGGCTGCTGGGGCCAGTCCCCTCCATGCTGCTGGGGTCCTTGGTCCTTTGCGGGCTGCCCAGCCCTGCCCACGCCCCCTGGCCTCTTCCTCGGGGTCTACAACCTGCCCATCACTAGTTCTGTTCTCTTGCCCCAGGGCAGCACCCTCTCCTGGGATGGGCACCCCTTCCTCTCTCCTGTCACATGTGCCCCCACATCCCACAGCACACTTTCCAGGTGATTTTGTGAGCACCCCCACTCAGATGCTCAGGGAGCAGAGTCCTGGAGGTGCCTGGGTGCCAGGTATTAACCTAGCTTCTGGGTGGGGGAGCAGGGAGGGGCCAGGGCGGCACACTAAGGGGCAATGGCAGCACCTCTTTACCGACCGTGGAATTGTTTTGACATTTTAGCATCAGCACGACCAGGCTGGTGACCGCAGTCTTGGGTAAATGGGTTGCCAACCAGAGCTTGTTGGTTCCCACGGCCTCTGTCCTCAAAGGGCTCCCAGTCGCTGGCTCTGGTGCCACCTTTCCCACCCCACAGCCCAGTCCCTGCGCCTGCCTGTGCCCTTGCACCCCTGCCGTATGCTCACCTGTCCATCCAGGTAGGCAGGAGCACCTCGGGAGGCCTGAGGCCTGGATGTGGCAGCGGCCCATTTTGGAACAGAAGGAAGCACAGGGGTCCTTGAGCGGGGCCTGACACCTCTTGCCAGTAAAGCCAGAGGGGCAGGTGCAAAAGAAGCTGGGGGCTGAGAGAAAGGGAGGACTGGGGGTACCCTGTAGGGTGGGAAACAGGACCTGACAGCTGCCCCCATTCTTGCAGGGCTGGGCATCCCGGCAGGGGTCAGCAAACTGGCATGTCTCACCCAGGAAGCCGGGAGCGCACCTAGGGGTGGGTGGGGAGAGGAACACTCCTATCAGTGCCCCTTCATCTTGTCTCCCCCTCCCTCCTGTACCTTCATGGGTTTCCCTTCCTCTCCCCCACCTCCGCCCCGCTGCCTCCTCCCCACCTGCTCCTTCTCTGCTCCCCTCCTCTCTGGCCCCCACTCAGGGCACACTCACTGGCAGGTGCCTGGTCCCCTAGACAGGCTCAGGCAGGTCCCTCCGTTGGCACAGGGTCCTGGGGCGCTCCCACAATGCAGCCCTAGAAGTGGACAGGAGGAGCTGGGATTAGGGAGCCCTGTGTCCACGCTTCCTCCTGGGGTGCTCCAGAGGGACCCATCTCCTTCACACCCCTGATCCTTGTCCCTGTATGGCCCTTTGCCCAGCCCCCTAGATCCCAGCCTCTCAGTTACTAGTCCCCTTCCCCCCCTTCCTGTTTATTCTCTGGGCTCCATCCCTCGGAAGTAAGACAACTGGGATCAGAGGGGGGCTGAGGGCTCCTGGGAGGGGAATGGCTGAGACAGGGAAGGGATTTCCTCCAGGAAGGGCCCAGCTTCCAGCCATCCAGGGGTGGGGACAGCTGGGCTGGGAGAGGGACCTGGAGGGCCTTGACCTTCCGTCTCCATCTCCTGCTCCCATCCTATCCCCTGGCAGGTGGCTGATCCTTCTCTCTCTCCTAAATGTGAGTGTAAGAGCCCCCGTCCCTTAACTCCAGGGACAACTGGGTTCTCCCTGGTGTAGGCAACTCTTACACACCCTCCACAGACCCATCCCTGGCACTAGGCCGGGAGCCCTGTCTGTGCTGCTCCAGGCAGAGTCCTCTCCCTGCAGCGGCCCTATCTGGGGGTGAGCACTGCCTCCATCCTGTGTTGCCTCAAATCCTGGGTTCAGGCCTCTGCCCCAACCACCATCATCCTCCTAAGTGGAAATAGGTACCCCCACCTCTCCCACCCCACACCTCACCTCTGGTCTTGACGACTGAGCAATACAGCAGCAGCAGCGACAGTGAGGGGAGCTGCATGCCAGAGCCCCTGCCCCAGCCCAGGCCCCTCCACCTCTGCAGGCAGGACCCGCACTGAGCTGCCACCTCTGCTTCCAGGCCCTTCCTCCTCCTGCTGGGCTCCAAGCCTCACGTCTGAGCTGTTTCCTGAGTCACACAATGTCCTGGACACCCTAGTGATGGGGGAGGAACTTGGGGGGATGAGGGAGGGGCCTTCTGTCCCTGACAACCCCAGGGGAGGTGGGGGTGAAGGAGAATTGTGTGGCTGCAGGGCAGGTGTTAGGAGAGGAGACTGGCTGGTGGGGTCCTGGGGGGCAATACAGCCCTTCTGCCTCTTCATGTCCCTTCTTTCTAGAGAGGGGGTTGCAAGGTGGCCTCCCTGTGCTTGGGAGCATCAGGACCTGGGAACAGAAGTGTGTGTACGGGGTGAGAGATCCCCTTTTCCTCTTCCAGGAGAGGGTGGTTGTTTTGTGAGGTCAGGATAGAGTCGTCTCAGAATCTGCAACTTGCCTTAAGTGGAAACCACTAACCTTGGCAGAGGGAACTCAGGGGACTTTTGAACCTTACTTTCACCCTCGTGGGGAACTTAGTTTTCTCTTTTAGGGGAATATGCAAGATGCTGGGCTGGTTTTTGGGGGGAGGTCAAGGATAAATGAGCATTGTCAGCACAAAATTTTGCATTCAGGATTTTAACGCAAAGGCTGCATTTGCTTAGGTGGCTGCTCCCCTCCCCCACCAGTGTCTCCCTCCCTCCTCGGCAGTGTCCAGGGGCTGCAGGGGATTCATTGCTCGGACTCATCCTACCTTGGCCAGTCAACATGGGACAGCATGGGGTCAGCCAGACCCAGCTCCTCCAGCAGCACAGAGGACTGAGTGTCCAGTAGCCCGAGGAGAGCAGCCTCAGCCCCCCACGAGGCACCAAGGGGTCCAGGTGTCTTTCCAGGTGTCCAGGATATACTTTGCCAGCCTCATTCTTCTTTTTAAGCCTTATATTTTGACTCATATAAATTGAAACTTAATAATACAATTTTAGATAATTTTTTAAAAGATTTATTTATTTACGCATACAAGAACTGGGTACAGGTCAGAGGTGTGGGGGTTGAGGGGATTCATCAGAGACAGATTGGGGAGCAGAACATGTGGATTGACTGAAATACACTGCTGAGGGGAGCAGCGGGCAAGACTGGAGAGGTCTGCTGCACCATGTGGGTAGCTCCCTGGCTGGGGATCGAACTTGTGCTGCAGTGATTGCAGATAGCTTCATAGGGTGCATCTTAACCCCTTGCCCACCAGAGAGGCCCAACATTTTAGATAATTTTAAACACACAGAAGAGGGAGAATACTAAATAATTCTTGATATCTTTCACTGGGGTCACCCATTGATCCCATCTGACTCCATTTTTAAAAATCATTTTTTTTTTTTAATAGAGGCATGTTTTATTTATTTATTTATTTGTTTGCTTGTCTTGTTTATACATGCACTGGGTACAGTCAGAAGCACGGGAGGGTAAGAGAATTCACCAGAGCCAGAGCGGGGAGCAGAGCAGGCAGAAGGACAGAAGTACACTGCTGAGGGGAGCAGCGGGCGGCAGGAGAGGTCTGCGCGCCATGCGGGACCCTCCTCTGGTGGCCGGGGAGCAGCCGGGGATGGAACCGGCGTCGCAGAGGCCGCGGGCAGCTTCGCAACCCAGCGCTCAACCACTGCGCCACCGGGGAGGCCCAAAAATCATTATTTCTTTAAATGCACTTTCTTTTTTCCTGGAGCCATTTGAAAGTTCACACGAGATGTTCCTTATTCATGGATACATTGGTGTGAGTTTCTTAAGAATGAGAACAGTCTTTTACGTAACCATTGTGCAACCATCATTCCAGGAAACTTAGATACAGCACTACTATCTACAGTCCATATTCAAAATTTGCTAATAGCCCTAATGTCCTTTCTGATGAGTTTTTCAGGAGTTAATTCAGAATCAACGACTGCATTTAGTGTGTCTTTCCAGGCTCCTTTGATAAGCACCTTTGATTTGCTTTGTCTTTCATTATATTGACTTAAAAAAAGATTTATTTATTTATGCATACAAGAATTGGAATGTAGGCCAGAGGTGTGGGGGGGTGGGTGAGAGGATTCACCAGAGACAGAGTGGGGAGCAGAACAGGCAGATCTACTGAAATACACTGCTGAGGGGAGCAGCGGGTGAGAGAAGAGAGGTCTGCTGTGCCAGGGAGGTCCTCCCTGGCGGGGGAATGAACTCATGGCTTCGGATTGCTTCATAGTGCTGCGTCTTAACCCCTGTGCCACCAGGGAGGCCCCTATATTGACATTTTTAAAGAATCCAGATTAGCTATTTTTTATCCATTCTTAAATTTAGGTATGTCTAACATTTCTTTAGTTTATGTACTTTTTTGGCAGGAAAACCACAGAAATGATGTCATGTCCTCAGTGTGTCACCCTAGGAGACATGTGAGCCAATACCATTTTTTTTTTTAAGATTTATTTTATTTATGCATACAAGAACTGGGGTGTAGGCCAGAGGTGCGAGGATTCACCAGAGACACAGTGGGGAACAGAATAGGCAGACCTACTGAAATACAGTGCTGAGGGGAGCAGCTGGAGAGCACTGGCTGGTCTTAGCTTGACAGCACTGAGACATTAACCCCTGTGCCGCCAGGGAGGGCCCCCAAGACCATTCTTTTTCAAAAATTTTATTTAATTTTATATTTTTTTACACCATTTTTCATTTTTGTACAATGTATGCATTTTCATCATGGTTATAGTCCCCATACAATTCCCACCCCCCTTATTTTGACCCTAATCCCTCCTGCCCTCCCCCACCCCAGTGTGTCTCTGGTTTATAATTGCTTGATTTTGATTTTTACTTTATTATAATTAGTCTTTTTTCCTGGTCCCTTGTTTAGGTTTTGTAAATTTCTGCTATGAGTGAGACCATCTGGTATTTTTCTTTTCTTTTTGGCTTATTTCGCTGAGCATGATCCCTTCCAGCGCCATCCATGTTGCTGCAAATTGTATGAGTTGATCTTTTTTGATTGCTGACTAATATTCCATTGTGTATATGTACCACATCTTCTTGATCCAGTCATCTATTTTTGGACATTTGGGTTGTTTCCATAGCTTACCTATTGTAAATAGTGCTGCAATAAACATAGGGGTGCAGGTGACCTTTTGAATTATTCTTTCTGTGTCCTTTGGGTAAATACCTAGGAGTGGAATTCCTGGATCATATGGAAGCTCCATCTTTCCCAAGACCATTCTTAATGGCTGACTGGTATCCCACTGTTTGGTGCTCATGAACCATTGTTCATGAAGCACATTTCTTAGTGTCCCATAGTTAGGTGATGTCAAATTTTAAAACTATGATAAACTACGGGCACTAAATATTCTTGAACATTTCAAGAATAGAGGGGGTGGAGCGTGCACAAGGGTGTTTTGTTGGCGGGAAAAAAAGACCTTCCAGCATCAATCTAGGGGGTCCATTGGATCATGGCAAATTCCTGCGGTGGGGGCAATGTAGAGCAGCACACAGGAGGAAATGCTCCCTCTCCTCCCCCGCCCCAGCCCCTCCTTGTGTGAAGAGTCTGTAAATCCACTAGGTGTCGCTCTCACAGTTTCCTTTGACAAACCAGCAACTGGCTCTATCTTGAGGTTTCATCAAACATTATATCAATATTTTCCTTAAAGGGGTTAATATTAGATGTGAGGCTTTGAGAATTAGCTTTCAATATGTAGTGCCTACAGATATGCCCTACTCCATGCCTCTGAAATGAAAAAAAAAAAAAAAACAAAACATTCTCCAATCTCTGCAGGAAGATTTTGGGGTCTGCTGAAAACCCTGAAACTTCTAAAGCTTTAAGACACGCTCTCCCCCTTTCAAAGCAGGGATGTTAGTTTTGAAAACAGCTGTCTCCCAAGAAGAGGAAAGTGGGGAGAAGTTTACTGTAAGGAGGGAGTTGAGAATGTGATGGGGCCGGAGTGGGGTTGGAGGTGGCCCTGGAAATGGTCCCGCCTAAGAAGACCCAGCACAACCTCCCTGAGGGTTGTCCTTCGTTTATTCCAACAGTGTGTCTGCAACACTCACTGGGGCAGACCCTGTTCTAATGACATTAGTGGCTCTTCCAATATAACTTCACGTAATTCTTATTCCAGCCTTGGGAAGGAGAGCAATGGGAGGGGGTCAGAGAGGGAGGGGGAGGCCTGGGAGCCCCTCCTTTAGCAGGGGGATCCCTTGAAGGGATGAGAGAGAGAGTTAACACGAGCTGACTGGAGAGGGTCAGGGCCTTGGAAGGAAATGAACTGGAGAAGGTGAGGCTGGAGGTGGGGCGGGTGGTCACTTGAGGTGCTTTGGGCAGGTGAGGGATGAGTGTGGCTTGGAACAGGTGCTGTTTGGGGTCATGGATTGAGAAATATCTTGAACTCATTGGACAGTTGGAAATAGACTGGTTGGGGGAGTGGACTGTGAAGATGACCCTGGAGTCTCTGGCAGAGATAACTGGGGGGACACAGGTACCCTTCCCTGAGAAGGGAAACTACAGAATGTGAGGGGGGAGGGGAGGCCCAGGCTCCATGGTTTCCTTGGGGACATAGAATTGGGCCTTCCTGGTGACCCGTGTCCTGGAGGGACAGGGTCTGGTCACTGTGACCAGGTCTCGGGTGACATTAACATCTGAACAAGCCGCAGGCCCCGTCCACGCAGTGTGGGCAGGACCAGGTCCTGGCAGCTCCTGGTGCCCAGTGCTGACTCCTGGTGTCCAGGGTGTGGGGGCTCCTGGGGCAGCTGCTGTGAGAAGGAGTAAAACGGATCCCTTAGGGGCTCCTCACAGGCCCTGCCACGTGGAGTGACAGCTGCCATGGGGTCACTGGGGTGGTCACCATCTGGTGTGCCACTGGGGTGGCACAGGCAGAGCCCTACACGGGGCTCAGTGTCAGTCCTCATGGCCCACACTCACCCCTAGTTCTGGGTCTGGGAGCCAAGCAGCCTGGGGCACAGTGGGTGCTCAACAGTGGGTGCTGGGTGGGCGCCTCCCCTGTGCCTGCAGGGGTGTCAGGGTGCCTGCCCCTACCCTCTGCTGGCTCCTCTGATCCTGCTGTTTCCCTGCTGATAACCAGGATGCACTGTCCAGAGGGCAGGGTGGAGTCTGCTGGGATTGCGTTTCAGCTTTCACTTTCAAGTGGTGGAAAGAATCTGAGAAGGGTGACTCCTTGCACTGGGAGAGCTTTGTTAGGGTCCCAGGGCTGGTCTCTACAGACACCCCTCAACCCAAGAGAGGTTCTGTTTCTCTGCTCTCCTGGGAACCACCTTCTCTCATCTGTGAGAACCTCTTGGCTCCCAGTCTGGCTCCTGAGCAGCTACTGCTGGTTCAAACTCTGCAGGAAGATTTGGGATCTGCTGGAAACACTGAAACCTCTCAAGCTTCAAGAGATGCTCTAGAAGTCTCCCCCTTTCAAAACAGGTATGTTCTTTTTGAAGACAACTGTCTTCCAAGAAGAAAGTGGGAAGGAGCTGGCTGTTAAGGATGGAGCTTTGGATGTGATGGGGCTGGAGTGGGGAGGGAGGTGGCCCTGGAAATGGTGCAGCTCTAAGAAGACCCAGCACAACCTCACTGAGGGTTGCACTTCACTTATTTCAACAATGTGTCTGTAACACTCACTGGGGCAGACCCTGTTCTAATGACATGTAGTGACTCTTCCAATACAACTTCATGTGATTCTTTTTCCAGCCTTGGGAAGGAAGATGCTGTTACTATCTCCATTTTGCAGATAAGGAAACTGAGGCAGAAAGGTTAAGGGACTTGAACAAGATGGTCACACAGAGAGTAACTCAGTCCAGAGGGGACTCACAGTCAGTCCCCAGGAATCTGCCCTCCCAGAACCATCACCTGTGTTTCCCCAACCCCCAGCCAGTGGGTGTTTTCTCTGGCCAGGACTCACTTTCCCTTCCCTGCTGTTCTGTCCCACCAGGTCCCTCACCCAGAGGCAGAAATCCCCCCAGAGCTGGAGAGGAGGAGGAAGCCCTCAGTGGGGATCTGACCCGGCTCCTGCTGTGTTTGGGGCAGAACCTTGTCCTTGGCCCTGGTACGTCAGGGCTGGGGAGGGACTGACCTTCAGGTGAACTGAACAAGCAGACAGAGCAAGACAGGGGCCCATGGGAGGACCCCGACTCCTTGGGGACAGTGTCGTGTGTCCTGAGGCATCTCAGGGACACCTGCTCACACTGAAGGGGACAGGATCACAAGCAGGCATTGGCCTGTCCTTCATGGGGGCCTGGGTCTGGGCCTCTGTCCTGGTGAGTGACAGGTATGATGATGGTTGGTGGGGGAGGGCAGTTTGCACCCCAGGCCCAGGTGCTGGGCCCAAGTTCTCTGAGCAGAGAGGGTCTGGGGTGTGGGTTCCATGGGGTGGAAGGGGAAGGGATAAACCAATAAACCTCATGGTCTCTAGTTAGAAGCCCTGAGGAGAGCCAGGTCTGTCTTTGGTCTCTGGGCCTAAGGAGTCACCAGGATGGGCCCTGCTCCTGCTGGTGGGGGTGTCCCTGGGCCCTGCTCCCCCCTGAGCCCAGAGCTCCTGGCTGCCCTGCTCCTCTGTGTGGGCCTGGCTGCATTCTGTCCTGTCTCTCCCAGCCCTGAGGAGATGGCGCCCTGTTCCTGCCCCAGCTCTGTGCTCTGCCTCCTCCCCTCCCTGCTGCTCCTCCTCCAGCTGCCCCCCGGGGGGTCCCAAGGTGAGTATGTCCCTCCCAGTTCCTGTGTCTCCCTTGGGTGGATGGGGCCCATGGGTTCTAGGAGCTCTTCCTTCAGGAAGGATGGCTGTGTGGGGGCCCTGGCTCTAGAAAGATGGGGGTGCTCCCCAACCACTCATGTGATGACACAGTTAAGAGCAGTTACTGAGCCTGGGCCTCCCTGGTGGTTCAAGGGGTTAGGACCCAGCACTGTAAGCTATTCACAGACCTGCAGCATGAGTTCAATCCCACATGGCGAAGCAGAGCTCTCCTAACTCACCAGCCCGCTGCTCCCCTCAACAGTGTATTTCAGTCAATCTGTCTGTTCTGTTCCCGCTCTGTCTCTGGTGAATCCTCTCACGCCCACACCTCTGGCCTGTACCCCAGTTTTTGTATGCATAAATTAATAAATCTTTAAAAAAAAAAAAAAAGCAGTTACTGAGCTGTAACATGACGGGGAGGGATGACAATTGCTCACTGTGGGGTTTATGGTGTTGTTTGGGCAATTTCCCAGGGAAATCAGAGGGCACTCTGAGAGGTGGAGAGACAGAAATTTAATTGTCACACCGACAGGCTCAGTGGGATCACTCCCCAAAGGGCTGGGCACCCCAAAATAAGAATGGCAAGGTTTTATACAGTTTGTATGAGGAAACTTGCTCTCCCATCCATCATAGCATAAGCATTCTTCATTGTTTGGGAAGGGGGTTCAAGGATGTCATGGCTACCAACATGGACAAGCAGTGCAGCACACACCCAGCAACTGCTCATCTTCAGCAGAATCAAAGCGGTAGACTCCCCCCAGCAGCAGGCTTGGGAAAGCAACAGAAACTAAGCATCAGATTCCCCCAAGCCACAGGCTTGGGAAACTTCCTGCTTCAGTGTGTCACAACATCAGCTGTCAAAAATGTGAAAAGACCTTTCCCCTCATTTTATTCTTTGAGTTTATTTTATTGGGAACACTTGTGAGTCACTAATTCATTGCATTCCACCAGTATTTATGGGGTATCAGCCATGTGCTCAGTGCTGTGTACAAACAGATAGACCCCACCTTCAGAGAGCTGCTTCCTGCAGGAGACAGTGACTAAAGACAAGAAACCCACCCCACCCCCACCCGCAGAGGGGCTGAGAGGAGGGACAGGCTGAGAGCAGGTGGGCAGTAGGGAGGGAGGAGTGGGTGGGGGCAGCTGTGTCCATCAAGGAGGTCAGTGGAGATGGTGGGATGGGAGCAAAGCCCTGGGGAGGGGGTGCTGGGGGTGAGGGTCCCATGGATGGAACAGCCTGTGAGGAGCTGGCTAGTGCCAGGGTTGCAAGGACAGAGGGGGTGAGGATCAGCTGGTGCAGAGGGAGAGGGAGGGACACAGGAGTGGGTGTCAGAGGCCTGGGAAGGGTCACCCTGTGGGGCTGGGGGTGACTATGGGGCTGCGAAGCCCCTGCCAGGCTGTGAGCAGAGCAGGACCTGGTTCAGCTCCCAGGTGAAAGGGGCCCAGACTGGGGGTGGCAGGAGAGACTAGTCTGTGTGTGTCCAGGTGAGAGAGGAGGGGCTCAGGCCAAGCTGGGGCAGCACAGGTGAGAAGTGGCTCTTTGGAGGTGCAGGGGGCTCCTGAGACAGCACAGTCCTGTTCTGTCCATCCCAGGCCTCCTCAGGTCAAGGGCTCTGACCAGGTATAGGTTGGATAGAAATTTCCTTTTTTAACATGGAGGTAACATTAATTTCCACACTGCATAGATTTTAGGTGTCCAGTTTCTCATCCTAGCAACTGCATGTCTCACACACCCACTACCAAAAGTGCAATCACAATCCTACACCAAGCTCTTCCCTCTACCCTTCTTCCTCTTCGGTGACTGCCATTTTTCTGGGATTATAAAGGGGGAGTCTGATTATAAAGATTTGATTTTTGCTGAGTATAAAGGTTTGTTGATGTGTTTTTCCCCTTCACAATCCATAAATGTGTGTATTCATAAGGTGTTTGTCTTTCTCCATTTGACTTATCATAATTGCCTCAAATTCTAGCCATGTTTTTTAAAATGAAGATTTCATCCTTTTTTAAAATCTGTATACTCTTCTATTTATATATATATATATCACTGTTTCTTTTTTCATTTTAATTAATTTTCTAACATTGTTATTCATTTTAATAGAATATTTAATTTCTTTCCCAGGTGTGGTCCCCATAAATCTCCCCCCATCACAGCATCCATGATCCATCACCACAGACCCTTGTGCTCTTCCCTCCCTCTTTTGAATCCTCTTCCTCTCCTCCCCTGTATGCCTCAGAGCTATGGTCAGTTTGCAGTTGTGGATTTTTCCTGACCCTTTGTTCAGTTTTTCTGTATTACACTTATATGTGAAACCTTCTGCTATTTATCTTTTTCCTTCTGATTTGTTTTGCTTAGCATAATTCTTTCCAGCTCCATCCACGTTGTTGCAAATGGCATGAGCTTATCATTTTTGATCACTGTTTTATTGTGTATATATACCACATCTTCTTGATCCACTCATCTGTTTTGGGGTGTATTGGTTGTTTCCATATCTTAGCTATTGTTAGTAGTGCTCAATAAATATAGGAGTGCAGGTTCCATTCAGATTAGTGTTTTTATGCTCTTTGGGTAGATTCCTAGTAGTTGAATTTCTGTATCATATGTTAGATCTATTTTTAATGTTTTGAGAAATTTCCACACAGCTTTCCATCATGGTTGGACTAGTTTGCATTCTCACCAGCAGTGTAATAGGGTTCCTTTTTCTTCATGTCATTGTCAGGGTTGTTGTTTCTGTTTTTTTTTTTTTAATATGCCCATTCCCACAGGTGTGAGGTGGTATCTCATTGTGGTTTTGATATGCCTTTCCCTGTCAATAAGTTATGTTTGTTTGTTTTTTTTTATAAGTTATGTTTTTCATTTGACTACTGGCCATTCGCATTTCTTCTTTTGAGAAGTGTCTTTTTGACTCCCTGCCCATTTTTTTTAAAAGATTTATTTGTTTATGCATACAAGAACTGGGGTATATGAACAACTAATCTTTGACAAAGGAACAAAGAATATGCAATGGAACACAAACAGTTTGTTCAATAAATGGTGCTGGGAAAACTGGACCTCCACATGCAAAAAAATGAAACTAGACCACTACCTCTCACCGTGCACAAAAATCAACTCAAATTGGATAAAAGAACTGGACATAAGACCTGAAACCATAAAATATATAGAAGAAAATATAGGTAAAACACAACAAGACATACATCTCAGAAACATCTTTAAAGACTCATTACCCAAACAGCCAGGATTACATCAAACTGAAAAGCTTCTGCACAGCAAAAGAGACATTAACCAAAACAGAGAGACACCCCACTGATTGGGAAAAAATCTTTGCACTCCATTCAACTGATAAGGGACTGATCACAATGATATGCAAAGAACTCACATGGCTCAACAAAAAAAAAAATAAACAATCCAGTCAAGAAATGGGCAGAAGAACTCAAAAGACATTTCTCCAAAGAGGAAATGCAAATGGCCAACAGCCAGATGAAAAAATGTTCAACATCCTTTATCATCAGGGAAATGCAAATCAAAACCACACTGAGATACCACCTTACACCAGTAAGAATGGCACATATCAAAAAAACAAGTAACGACAAAGATGTTTCTGCAGTGTATGTGATGGAGTGTTTTACTTATGTTTTCTTCTATATATTTTATGGTTTCAGGTCTTACATTCAAGGCTTGTATCTCTATTGAGTTGGTTTTTCTGTGGCGTGAGATAGTCGTCTAGTTCCATTCCTTCGCATGTGGCTGTCCAGTTTCCCCAGCACCTTTTATTGAAGAGAGTCTCCTTGTCCAGTGTCTCTTCTTTGCTCCTTTATTATAACTAGTTGATCATATGTGTGTGGTTATATGTCTGGGCTTTCAATTTGATTCCATTGGTCTGTGTCTGTTTTTGTTCCAGTACCACACTATTGTTATTATTATGGCTTTGTAGTTTGAGTTCTGGAAGTGCAATACCTCTTTCCCCTTTTTGTCAGGAGAGCTTTGGCTCTCTGAGGTTTTTTGGGATTCCATAGGAATTTCAGTAATATTTGTCCTATTTCTTTGAAAAATGACATTGAGATTTTTTATTGGAATTGCATTAAATCTGCTATTGGTAGAATTACCATTTTGATAATGTTAATTCTTCTGATATATGAGTTGGGAATATTCTTCCATTTCTTTGTGTTTTCTTCTGTTGCTTTTAACAGTGTTTTGTAATTTTCCTTTTATATGTCTTCCACCTCCTTTGTTAGGTTTATTCCCAGGTATTTAATTTTTTGGTACAACTATAGTTGGAATGGCTTTCTTAATTTCTTCTTCATCAGACTGATTGTTTGCATATAGGAAGGTTACTAATTTTTGTGTATCGATTTTGTAAACTGCTTTTTTACTAAGCTGGTTTACTGTTTTAATTAAATTTTCCTGTGGATTTTTAATGATTCTCTCTTTATATTATCATAATACCTGCAAATAATGATAGTTTTACTTCTTCCCTTCCAGTGTTTGTTCATTGTATGTCCTTCTCTTGCGTAATTGCTCTAGCTAGGACTTTTCCAGTATTATATTGAAAAACAGTGGTGAGAGTGGACATTTTGTCTTGGTCCAGATCTTAAAGGGAAGACTTTCAATTTTTCACCGTTAAGAAAGATGTGATTAGGGTCTCCCTGGTAGCCCATGGTTAAAGACACAATGCTATCAAGCTATTGCCAGACACTGCAGCATGAATTCCATCCTTGGCAGGCCAGGGACCTACCCACATGGCGCAGCAGACCTCTCCTGACTCGCCAGTGGCTCCCCTCAGCAGTGTATTTCAGTAGATCTGCCTGCTCTGCTCCCCGCTTTCTCCGGTGAATCCTCTCACCCCCCTCACCTGTGGTCTACACCCCAGTTCTTGTGTGCATAAATAAATAAATCTTTTTTTAAAAAAGAATGATGTTATTATTATCACATTTTCTTAATCCAGTCATCTCTCCTCTAGGACTTGG